TAATACTTTATTCATAAAGTATTTCACACTTCAGGAAAAAATGATGACAGGTATAAAGATGTAACTATGAAGTATTGAAAAAGTACCATTCAGTATCAAAATGTGCTGAAATATACAAAAATATTTTGTGTTTGTTTATAATGATTTCACTTCATTTACCTATTAGGTATACAAACTTTAATTTTTTTAATCAAAATTTTATTACAGTTTTATTTTTTTCTGATGAGAAATAACAAAAATGTTTTCATGTTTGGTAAAACCGGTTCACACCAACCGTACAAGTAACTACATGTAGAGTACCTAAATATTTCATCACTTCTGTAAATGTAATGAGTAATGTACATACTGTGTAAATGTACAACAACAATATGCAATTTGTTTAATATGAATAGTTTTCCCAGTGGCTAATCATGTATTCTGGTGCTGTAACAATACATTTGTGGAAGATGTACAAAAAAGCAGCTTTTAACGCTTTTTAAATCATTATGACATGCTCATGTATTTGAAAAAACAAAATCACTCCTCCTGAAAATTGCTTGAGCTAAGTTTTCATTTACTTTTGTTACATACACCTTTCTGTCTTCATTGTTCTTCCTATGTACGAGTACACAACGAGCCATTATAAAATACATGTAATTGCAACTCTTAATTATGCTTGGAGGTTCCTAATTGTGGCCACACCCTACCCCTGGGGGTCATGATTTGAACAATTCAGAATCTTCACTGTATGGGTGTTGTGATCACCCATTTTGTGGAACGCTCCCTCCTGGTTCTTGGGTCGAGGGTTCCAGCCCAAACAGCAACACCAGCACTTGGCACAGTAAAGTGAAAGTTGGAGTTCTTGGATGAGACAGTAAAAGTTGAGGTCCCATGTAAGAGCAGGCATTGGCACGCTAAAGAACCTTCACTCCTCACTGGGCCTTAGTGTTGAGCAAACGTCTAAATTTCAAGTTATTCACTGCATTTTGTGATTTCTCATAAGGGTTAAATAATCTTGCAAGGGATGTTACATGTAAGTTACAACGATCAATTCATGCTTTGATGCCTTGATGGAAATGCTGCAAATTCAAGTAAAATTTCTGCTAAAGATGGGTGCTCCAACAGATGCAGCAATTTGAGTTATATTGTTGTTTCTACCTGGAAAGAAATCCACAAAAAATGATTGTGATATTCAGATAAATAAATATTTAATCATTATCAAGTATACAGTTTACACATGTAACTAGTTATGATGATTTTTTTCATTGTCCAAAACTTTGACTTTTATGTATTTTTTCTGAGGGAAAAAATATAAAACATATTATTAAATATTGTAGTTTAAATATAATCACAATATGGGAACCAAATTAGGATTTACATGATACAAACAATATATAAAATTAAGTACAATCATACATTTCAAAGTTAGGTGAATAAATAGATAGTAAAAAATACATGAATATACTCAAAGTCAAAATGCATATTCAAACCCTAATAAAGCATATGAATAATGAGCATGTGCAGTGTATAAAGAACAGGAGCAGCAAATAAGAACATATTTCACATTTATCCCCTTTTTAAACAAGAGTGATGTTTTCATTTTTCAAAAGTATCAACACACTCAACTTACCTGATCATGTTGTTTGTAAATAAAAACAAACATGTCTTAGCTAGGGGTTTTTTTCAACAGCAGGTATTTCTTCAGTACATGTATCTCTGTAAGATTGTTTTCTGTGGTAAAAAAAAAAAATCAATTATTAAATTTGAAATTCAAAATACATGTGAATATTGTGATGTACAAGATAGCATCATAACGACCAATTAGCATGATCAGTGTGATTCAAGTATACACATTTTTAAAGCTGTTTAATCATGTTAATTTTTTCAAAGCTTTGTGCACTGTAAAAGATATGAAGGCAACTTATAATTTTGGAGGAAACAGTTTTGTGAGATAATTAAGACAAATATAATTATCATAGTTAAAACAAATGATTCAAGGGTTCACTTATATAATATGGCACATAATAGCATACTTGATTCTGATGATTCAGCACTTTGGTAAAACAGGGAATGACCAGTTCCTATTTAAATCTACACTTAAAAAGTCTAACATTTCCAATATTTTACTAAGTGGTCATTAAAAAAATCAATGTTTGAGCTCGGAGTGAGATACTGGACCTGCCGATGAGATATTGGACCGGTTACATAACACAATGGACAGGATCAGCTAAATCTCATTAGCATTTATTTGTGTTTGACAGTGACAGAATTGACCGATCACGAGTTTCATCAAAGTGCTGGTAAAGGAAATTTAGATTAAGGAAGCCAGCACAAGATACATGTATTTTAAAAAATAAAAGGTACAGTAACAAAACATTTATCAACTGTTTTCTCAGGCAAAATGTTTTGTTGACCTCTAAAACCAAACTGTTTGCCTTCATCTTAACACGTTTCCTTTGAACCCAGTCAATAATATATGTATATTGTGAGATGGTATTGCACTCGCATCAAGACTGGAGGACTGACTGAGCAAAAAAAAATTGAAAGGCTCAGGCATGTCAGGCGGCTTCGACATTGTGTCCTTGGAGATATTTGTATTGAAAGTGGTTTATTCTATGACAAGAAGCTTTTGATGGAGATACTCTGGTGAAGACAGTGAACTATTATACATTTGCAGTCCTTTCTATCTTAGTTATGTTTTACCATAGAACTACAATATTTCTATTTATACTGCTCACAACATAAGCTGGGTTATTTGATTCTATTAGCATGTAGCCAGGTTTATCTGGCTTAGTTCAGCTCGGTCAAATTTTATCAGAATCAACTATGCTTATAAACTAGGCTATCCTAATTAGGAATTGTCCTTAATGCAATTTATGTTGCATCCAAAATCCTTTTTACAAAGTTATTGATAAGATTTGTCTGCATTGAAAAACTGTATTAATATTTATGAATAAACAATACCAAATGTAACATTGAAAAAATATATAGGCCTATATTTAAATACGGTTACCTGTTCCAAATGTTCAGTGTTGATGTCAACATGGTCAATCAGAAAGTTTTAGCTTAGGTCCTGGCATTCCTGGTTCTTGGTGTGTTTTCTACTTCATTTACATGTTTACAAACATGCACTTAAAAACTTTTTATGTTCATTAAGTTAAATTCCAGAATGAGATGCCAATATATCTTAGACATTCTTCAGAAAAGATCGTTCTTTCAAATCGATGACATACCCCTGAGTCTTAAAACGTCTTCAAAAATAATACGGACCATACGACAGTTAATCGTCTTCGTCAGAAACATCAACTTGAACTTCATGATCATCGTCTCAAGCCACGGTTACCATTCAGAGTCCGCTCATAGGCATAGAACCAAGAATGGGAGAGGATCGTACATTTTGGCCGTAGTATACATAAACCGTTCTCTCGTCGTTTCTTTCTTTTTTTTATTAACAGCATACATATGTGTTTTTGTACACATAGCCTGGTTCCCTGTCCCTGTTTTGCTTCGTGTACTCCGCGTCGCTGCAAGGATGAGCCAGGGGACCAGGCTATTGTTGATATGCGTAAATGTCGTAAAAATAATTTATTTATAGAATCAACAAATGAATATAAATCGAAATGTTTACAATATTCTGGAATTGAGAGGAAACGTTTAAAAATCTTCAAAAGAATTAAAAATGTATATATTTTTTTTATCTTTTGCGATACATAGTTACGTCAATCTGATTCAAGGCATATGCGCGGTTTTCTGCGCAGTGGCGCGAAATTTCGAATTAGGTCCGTCGTCCTTAACATATTTTCTAATATATTTTTATTTTTAAAAAAGTTTTGAAAAACAGACTGGATAGAATATTTTCATTCACATTTTCTTATATGATTCTTCTCTTTCAACAATCAAAGACACTTTTCAATACTGCTTAGCAGTACTTGTTTAGTGAAATATGTTCACACTAAGTCCTTTACACGCGACATTACCCTAAAGCTCCAATATTCGCCGTAAATCATGACTAAAGCAAAGACTAATTATTAGTAGATTGTGATTTTTCAAATCTCACTCATTTCTGTTTAAAATCTTAAAAATCTTTCAGAAAATTCTGGAAACACATTTTTATAGGACATGTTTTTAAAAGAAACAGATTATAGCAATTTCCTGTTTACTGCCAATTTTATTCATAAAACCGATTCTGTCCTATAACCTTGGAATGGGTCAACCTACACCATGTGTCTTGAATTTAAATCACAATAACATTAGTAGGGGTGTTTCGGGTGATCATTACCACTACATTTTATCAATAAGACTATTGCTGACTACTGCGTAGTCATTACTGCTACATATGGAATCAGCCAGCAATGCTGTGGAATATAAGTTCTACTCATTATGATTATTATAAGAGATTTCCAGACAGCAGTACAAAAATGGCCTTCAAAGCTCTACCAGCTGTGTAAAGACTGTGTGTTTTATCCATGAACAATGCTCGGTTTTAAAACTTTCTAAAAATTTTTATTAAATAAAATAAATTTTAAATAAAAAATTGTTTAAAGCCTTAATTTCTTTCGCCTTCCTGTGATGAACAGGGGAAACAGGTCCTATGCATGTATAAGTTGTAACTATAGTTGATCAGTATGTATATGCATAAGCCACTGGCAGCTAACAAAGGAGGCAATGTAGAGGTAATGTATACTTTTCAATGTAGTGGTGAAGTAACCTTTTTGTAGCGGTAATGAGTATGTAGCGGTTATGACAATTTTGAAAATGTAGTAGTAATGATACCCACCCACACAAACAGATGGCAATAGGTTACCCGAGTAACTCAGGTGACCTAAAAGTCTAATGCCCAAAAATTAAAAAAATTGATTTTCCTGTCTTGTGTTGAGACTAATTGATCAAATACGTGTGTGTATTATGAAAATAATTCACAAAAAGTCGCTAGTCTTCATACCAGATATTTCCACTTCTGGGAAAAAATGCCTTGGTCTGGCAAAAATACTAGTCAACGTAAACGAGAATACAAGCCTTACCATCTTTAGGGACTGCTGGAGTGCTTGGGTTTTCCTGTAAATTGCGAGTCCTAAATCTGCAATGTTAAACAGCGACATTTAAGTTCTGATATCGTTTTTGTTTTGTTTTGTTTTTTTTTCTGTTGTTTAACGTCCCTCTCGAGAATTTTTCACTCATATGGAGATGCCACCACTTGCTGATGGAGGGCTACAAATTTTGACCTATACTCGGCACTTAGGGCCATTGAGCAGTGAGGGATCCTTTTTGTGCCAGCACCTACTGCGACACGGGACCTCGGTTTATACAATCTCATCCGAAGTTCCGGTCTCCACGTCCCAGAGTGGGATTCGGACCCGCGACGTAAGGATCAACTTCTTACTCTGCAAATCTAGAGCAGAAGCTCTAACCACTGCGCCACACGAGCAACCTCAGATATCGTAAAACAATACTAATATTTTTAATCGCGAAAAAGTTTATTACTGTTAACTGTAAACACACAAATTGTGAATGTAAATGAATAAAACAATATTTGAATCTTGGGCTTAATGAAGTTACTCCCGCTCTTCAATGATGTGGATAATGAATGTAATGTAATGTTACGATAACAGAATTTAATCAATGAACAGATGTATATCATCGACGTCAGTTTAATTACTTTTAAAGTATTTTTTTTAAATATATGCAAACTGTAAACCCTTTTGGGGAAAAGAAATAAAAAAGCTATTTCTCTTAAGCTGTTATTTGTAAACGGAAACGGAATGTACCTGGAAACACGCAAGTAACCCCCTTCCCCTATCATTAATCCTCCCCTGTTAAATATTTTTTCAAACGTGATTTGTGTGACTAGCAACACTTGGTAATGTCCACCTTGAAAAGTAAAGGACAGAGACTAATAATTTACGCAGCAGCAATATATAGGTGTAATTATTTGGTATTACTTACATTAGAGAATCTTCTCGTTGTATACTTGTGTTGTTTACCCCATGGTTGGTATACATAGGTTCACCTAAAAAATCCATTTGAGAATTATATCAGTAAATTGAATTGTTTTATCCAGAGACAACTAGTTCGTTAAGCAGAGGAAAACTTAGCTTGCCTGGATATGATGGTGGCTGAGTATTTACATAAACGGAATCTAGATCATCCATTAATATCATCCCATCTTCATGTCCATAATTGGAAGCAATGTTGGGCAAAACTGGTTTTTCAACAACACTGCTTCTTGAGTCATTGGCACCATATTTTAATTTGTTAACAGAGTCTCTACTTCCTACAGGTTTCTGCCTGGTGGATGTCTCTGAATGTCTCGCAAACAGGTCCGCGGCATTTGCACCCAAATAGTAATCTTGTTCTCTTAGTTCATCTGAATTTATAACCGTCATGCCCCTTGGCCGTTCATAAGAGAGACCACGGACGGAAGTGCCCCTTGTTTCATAAATTTTATTGCCCTTTGGACTTGATGTAATCACAGCATGAATGGACCTATCTTGCTTGTTAGCCTCTCGTCGTTTTCTAAGTGTGTCCAGATAGCTTGTCTTTGATAAATTGTCTGATCTGCAATAGACGTTTATAAATGACATTATGGCATGACATTAAGCTTTTGAAAAGTTCCGTTTTTGAATTTTCTATGAAATTCTTGGTTCCATACCGTAAAATAACGTCGCCCTCTTCTTCTTCACTTTGCCTTTGTTTTGAACTGTCTGAATATTTTGAAAATCAAAAAATAAATATTATTTTATCAGTAAAACCAAAGGCGGATTCAGCCCCCCCCCCCCCCCGTTTGAATTTTTTGTATGTAGAACTTATAATATCATGTCCATTATCCTAAAATCAAGGAAAAAAACATCTATTTGTAAGAATTCGTCAGCTTCGCCCCCAGACCCCCACCAGGGCTTTGCCCTACACCTACTGGGGGTTTCAATGCAGCCCCCAGACCCCCCTGCTTTCTACTGCCCCCAGACCCCCCCCCCCCCGTTATGAAATTCCTGGATCCGCCACTGAAACTTATTAATTAACATTATCCCCTTAATTTGATTACTCCGTCAGAGAGATCCACAATTAACAGTGCAGTTATTCAATTACCATCTTTTTAAGTAATTTTTAGAATTTGAAACTGTATACAATTTTTGCATTCAATGTACTGAAACACAATGAAAGACAGTCTCACCTTCCCTGCTGCGTCTGTTTAAAGACTCTCTCGTGTGAATGGATCCTTTGCTAGCTTTTCTTCAAGTAAGAAAATATCTATATATAGTTTTTTTTATAATTGTAATGGGTAAGGTGGCAATTTTTATCTTTCCTGATACTTTCTGTAATGTGAATTTTGTTTTAATAGCAATTCTATACTAGTAATCACTTTTCCCATGAATGCAAACTAAAGGCTTTCATTGTCAACAGTTCTATATAGGTCTATAGAGAAACTAAAGACCTACTGTATTATGGCATCTAAGGCTTCATCGATCATTTCTTTCTTCTCCTCTTCATCTTTTTCTGGATAATCTAGAGTATCGAAAGTTTAAAAATCAGAGGAAGTTGATTAAATTACAACTAATTTGCTTTCAAAGTTCTGCAAAGCATGGTTAGTTCATAAAGAGTAAGAGCTGTGCGAGTCTTACATATTATTAAAATATTGCAACCTAAATTCTATACCCTCAAATCTTGTTTGTGGTCTGTCATACGTGTCCTCAAATTCTTGAAAATACACCTTCATTAAAAAGAAAATAATTTAACTGAACATTTTTTGTTCGTTTTGTTGCTTGAACATAATTATGTGAAATTTACATGCAGGATAAAATTAATTAATAATTTTACAAAACCTGTTTGTCTTGAATTCGTCTTTGGTTCCCTTGAGGTACTTCGTAAAGATTATCTTCAATGTCTGCAATTGTGTCATAAATTTCGTTTTCATCAACTTCATTGTGAGGTGTTCCATACCGGCTAGAATGGCGGTCACGTGGTGTTGTGACGTTGCTGGTATCTTCATCACGTGTAGAATTTAAATTGCTCGTGTCGTCATCACGTGGTGTATTTACATTGCTGGTATCTTCATCAGCATCTTCATATTTTCTTGCATCATCTATTAAGGCTCTTTCTTGATCAGCTTTTTCCTTTGCTTCACTTAGCTTGTCCAATTTAGTCATCGCACGCATTCTGCAATGAATCAAACATTTATGGTTTACCATAGTACTTAAAAAAAAATTATATAAAATTTTCAAGTGCTACGTAAGGTCTTTAAAATTAATGATAGTTCAAAATCAAAATGTACGTTCATATAATATTTAGTGTATATACACACCGAACAACAAACCAACAGGTCAGTTATTTAAAACGTTCATATTCATTTTTAGCTCACCTAAACGAAGTCGAGATGAGCTTATACTATATTCCCCGTGTTGGTGTCCTAGTTTAAGGAGAAAGTCCATTCCCAATTAACTATAAGCCCTACCTGAACAAAATGTATCTAGGAATGGACACTTCCAGACTTGCTTCGGTTGTTGAAACGGTTGCCTCCATATTCTAGATGCGTTACCATTTCAAAGTTTATCGAGCAGTTATATTCCCAAGTAACTGTTTATAGCCCTTCCTGAACCAAAACTTGCAAGGATGACGTATCTAGGGATGAATACTACCAGACCTGCTTTGGATTCCATGGCCGTAGGAACCGGGGGGGGGGGCACGGGGGGTGGTGCCCCCCCCCCCCCCAATAATTTTGCCGATATATATGATATAGAAAACATAGCTACTATATGCTTGTGCCCCCTCAATAACGACCTTTGATGACCTTTTTTTTGGCTTGTCAAGGAATTTTGGTACTTAATAGTGCCCCCCAACTGAAAATGTATGGTTGTGCCTCCTCAAAGTGAAATTGCTTCCTACGGGCCTGGATTCTGCATCTGACCTACATTTTCCGGATGGGTGAACAGGTTGAAGTTTTAGAGTTGGTCCACTTCCAAGCAACAATAATCCCTACCTTAACGAAACTTGTTTGCATGATGCATCTACATGTAGGGATGGACACTAACAGATATGCTTCGGTTGCTGGATCTGCCCTACATTTTTCTGGATGAGTGATCAACTTAACGTTTTAGGACCGGTACAGATCAATTCCAAAATAACCAAAAGCCTTTCCTAGAACAAACCTGCATGAATGATGCATCTAACGATGTACAATACCAGGCTTGCTCTGGATGCAGGAACAGAACTATATTTTCTGAATTAGTGAACAGGTAAAAGTTTTTTAAGCAGATTTATTTCTAGGGCTGGGACGATACATGTGTATATCGAGATACCGATTCTGTGTCAGGACGGTACGCATATCAATACGTATGAAGAAATATCGTCGAAAAAATTCTGACATGTTTTTCTTTGTTTACTTAAAACTTTGGGTTTAATATATAAAATAAATATGCTAAATATAAATATATATGTGAAAAACATATTAATTAACACCACTTGTGTAAAATAATTTTGTCTTACAACAGATATACAACTTTTTTGAATAAATTTTTCTTATTTGTGAAGAAATGTTTTGATTAATTCAATTAAAAAAAAGATTTTATAACCAATTCAACATATCGTGATACATATCGTATCGTGGATCAAATATCGTGATACGTATCGATATAGAAAAAGCTGTATCGTCCCATCCCTATAATTATTTCCAAGTAACTACAAGTCCTATCTGGGTCAAACTTGAACAGATTCATCAATAGATGCTCACATCCGGACTTGCTTCGGATACTGGGTCTTTCATTTTCCAGAAGAGTGACTATTAGCCCTTCCTGGACAAATCTCTCGTAATGGACAGTATTAGATTTGCTTTCTTATGCTGGGTCTGACTTACATTTTCTGGATGAGTGACCAAGTTCTAAAGCAGATCTATTATCAAGAAACTATAGTTAAGCCCTACCTACTTCAAACTTGCAGGGATGATGCATCTAGGGATGGGCAGTATTAGACTTGCTTTGGGTTCTGGAACTGACCTAAATTTTTGGAGGAGAGAACAAGTTAAAGTTTTTAGAGGAGGTCACTTCCCAAGTACCTGGACGAAACTTGCTTGGATGATGCATCTCGAGATGCACACTACCAAGCTTTCTTTGGATTCTGAATCTGACCTTATCAAGATGAATGACCCAGTGATTGCGCTAAATTATGAATACGCCAACTTATATACATGTACAGTAACTATATGGTCTAATATGAATGATGTATCGGGAATTGGACACTAAATAAATTGCAGATAAAAGTGCTGGATATGACTTTCATTTTCCAGGTGAGTTAAGTTAGTGGAGCAGGTAATTATACGTCATACCAAAACTCACTTGCATGGATATTAAATTCGGGATGCACGCTAAGAGGAAAGTGTTGGTTTGAGATTTGCCTTTCTTTTTAGTAACATTCGGCGAGAAGGGCTCCGTTATGTTTGATTACCTTATTTTTTCATTATATCCTTAAAAATTCAAGAATATGACAGCCATATAAAAGCTGTGATATATATGATTTTAAACGACAGAATCAAGGATATCCGAACACCAGGAGTGACACCTATGGATCTATGAAACATCAGTTTAAAAGCTTTTAAAAATTTCGTATTGTTTTCATGATGACTAGAAAACAGTTGCTCTAGATACAGCTAACCAAAAAACTTCACCAGATTTTACTAATGTTTAGTTTTCATTAACTAGCAAAAATATACGGTTCCTGTGTTGAACGTCTGTTCCGTGTGAATAAGCACATTTAAATAAACTTCTTGATGATTTTTAAGAAGACTAACATTTTTGATTTTCGTATAAGTTCCACTTTTTGTCCACAGACAAAGCACATACAGGCCAAAAACAGAAGCGGTACAATTCCAGCTATAATACGGACACCCAACTCTTCTTCTTTTACTATGGTCCATTCTAAAACAAAAAAATAAATATATAGGGTTAAAACTCAGAAAATACGATAGACATTGAAACCTGCCATTGCTAGGTGAATTAATAAATAATTATTGTACTTTATCTTGGTAGCGGACAGAAACAAAATTTGAAAAATAATCAAATGAATATAAGTACGTGTCTTCGGAATCGGTTCCTCGATTATAAATGCGTGTTGAACCACCATTACACCAGCATGCTGAACAGCACATAAGTAGATTCCACCATTTCCTTTACCAAACAATTCTATTCCACTAGTATACGGCTGTCCTCGAAACTGTATGTGAAAAAAAATCTCTTCATAAAACACTTTACAAAATGAAAGCTTTGTGACAGATTTTGAGGAAGCCCCCCCCCCCCTTTTGTAATCCCCTCTTCCCGAAACATAGAGCGGAAAATCGGCCCAAGAGGTATGTAGCTGACCCCCTTTCCCCATTTTAAGGATTTGAAACTGTATTGCTTGCTTAAGCTTGTCACTGTTTTAGATGTTATTATGAGCTAAACTATTTCCTTCCATCAAGAAACATACCCCTTTTCCTTGCTTGTCGTAGTTTTTTGAAGGTTGAAATCTTTTTTCAAGATATTTAAATCCGAAACTATGTTTGCACAACAGTTTTAACCAAGACATTAGAGCGATAGGCAAAACAAAAAGTGTCTAGTCATAATGGAGGTGTGAATGTTCTAGGTTATTAGCCACTGCCGTTCAGTTAATCAGTAAATACTTATGATTTCTGTTCTAAAATAAAAACAGTTTACCCTTTGATGTATTTTGAATGATCCATTCGCACTTGGGTTCATTATTTCATCAATGTGAAACCACATGACGTCCACATCTATCGATTTTCTCATGTAGTAAGTATAATCACACTTCAATATTACGTCACTCGTTTCGCTTTCTTTTATGATGTCACTAGCTAAAATAAACCCAAAATAAAATGAAGAGAGTGTCTATTAATAGTGGTGTGCTATAATGCTAGAAAATTAATATTTGATTCATCACAATCGATGAAGACTCTTCGTGTTTTTCTTTATATGAATTTCCTAAATATTCGACAAACAGACAGAGGAAGCTAAGGCTTACAAAATGTTTGTATTAATAATATATTTTTACTGTACCTGTGTATGTTATCCCCATTGAATTAAGAAAACCCTCTTTGTTCATTATCGCCGCTCCCTTCATGTCGACCCTCTGACCATTTATTTTTAGGCTGTAAATATATCCCATAAACCCGACAAGTGTCTGTACATCCTTGTGCAGTTGATATCTATCTGCTTTTTCTCCTCCACCAATATACAAAGTTCTGCCTGGCGAAAACGGAGACCCGTACGACTCGAGTTCAATGGACGGTCCAGCATTCACCCTTAATTTAGCTGTGGTTTTTCTGACGGCAAGGGAGATATGATACCAGGAATCAGGCTGTAAAAGTTCATGTTTTGATGACAATACAGAACATCTAATATATAATTTTTTTCAGAAATTTATTTACAACTCTAGAGAAGACTTAATTTACTTTCAATATGAATAAGATTATAGAACACAACATAACAGTGTCTCGGTTAATTTACGTATTTTATTTCACTAATGTTTAAAACACTACCTGAATGTCTGTCAGATCGGTACACACCAACTTCTTCCCACAGTTGCAGCAAAAAATAAGGACAGCTTTTTTAATCTTTAAATAAACTACTGATTTTTCTTCAGCTCCGTGATTGAAAAGCAGAAGGCCATCCATTTTCATTGGCGAAAAAACAATTTCTACGGAAAGTCTCATCGTGCCCAGCACCGACAGCTTCATGTAGTTATTTCCATGGAATATAGGATATGCAACAGTTGGCTCTAAAAAAAAATAAAATTATACTATAGAATAAAATTTCAAAAATAAAATTTTATTTAAAAGGCTTGGTTCTAACCAAAGTACAAAAAAAGATCCACCTAAAAATAAACATGACATTGTATGATTTTTCTAGCCAGTACTTAGTAGTAAGAATAGCCATACACCCATAAATGTTTCATCTATGTTCCTTTAACGAGGTTGGATCCTGATATTTAAAGTTTTAAACTTTTTTTGTCAAGTATATTTTTAGTTTCTACACATATAGCTTAATTAAAAATCAAAACAAAAAACGGGGGTCAATACGCTTCTTTTGGCGCTACAGTACATTTAATATGACCTTTTTGCACTGAAATTTGTGTCTTAATCAAAAATCACATCTTCGACGTTTTCCCTCCAATGTTTTTATCCAAATAAATCATGGGACAAATTAAACTTTTAGTCTATTTAAAAAAAGACACTTCAAAATTGTGACTAAGAAAAAGTTTCAAATTGCTTCGCATAATCAATTATTTGACCTTTCTGCACTCAAAAAATGTGATTTTTCTGACATTAAAAATTTAACAAGCAAGAAAATTATTTTAAAGTCTTAAACTTTTTCTGAATTTAGGCAGATTGATCAAAGTTATCTTATATATTCAGAAAATAAAAACAAAAGTGGGGGTCTATGATGTAAATTTTTAGATATTACTGAAAAAGTGTTCATTTTATGTTAAAATTGGCTCAATTTTCTCCTGGACTTTCAGAATATATTCACTATATTTGTCACAATATAATGAAAGAATTCATTAGAAATAATTTAATAGATATTTCAGAACCAGCATAAAACATTTCACTGCAAAAAACAGCTCTGTGTGCAACCAGCGTGGAAAAATAGGAATCTAAACTTAACAGTACTGTATATATTTCAAAAGGAGACAAAATGATCATTTTCTCCTAAAAAAAACCTTCCGCCACAAAATATAGTTCCTGGCTTAATCCTCTTTGAATGGAATTTAATCGTGGTTTTTTCATTGGATATAGTTAATTTGCATTGTAGAATTCAGATTTAATGTTTGAACTTAAAAATGACGCAGAATTTTATAAATAAAGGTCCAGACCAAAATCTGCTCAAAAGCTCAGGATCGAACCTCCTTAAAAAGGCCTTGTCCATCCATCCATAATGGGTGATGGTGAATAAAAATTTTATATCCTTTTTAAAAATAAGGAATGTGTAATATTTTTTTTACCTAATTGTTTTTCTTTAACATTGATACTTTTGAGTGGCGAGCCATACTCAGATTTTGATGTGTCTTCAAACAGACTAAGAGCTCGGAAATTCACTCTCAACGAACCAATCACGCCGGTAAATCCTACAATTATGAAGAATTGCATATTATTATTAAAGACTGAAAAAAATCTTAAATTTTCCGTATCACACACATGAACACATCAGTTAATGAACTGTAAAGCCAAGATATGCTGTAATTTTTTTTACGTTTATAATTATTACATTTATCTTTTTCTCAATCATTGTATATATAATGCAAATATAACATTAACTTTGATCAGATGTTCACAAAACTTGATACCTATTCTCTCTTTTCTGTGTTTATCCCAGCCAACCGTCATCTGTGCGTCAAAATTTAATTCTCCTTCAAATTTTACGGTGGCGTTCAGGTGTTTACCATCATCGACTCTCATGAAGGCTTCGTTTTTGAAAATGCAAACCAGGACTGTATGCCAAATATTTTTCTAAAAGTTTAGAATTCACATAAATTTAATAAATTTACATTCATTTTGTAAGCATCTGATTTTATTACGTCAACAATACGTCATGTCAAGATGAAAGAGGCACTCACAAAGTAACTACCTTTTTTCTCTGTATGTACATGTATGTATGCATGAATGCATGTGTATATGAATATTTTTAGTTCACTATTGTTTTCCTTACATGTATTTACTTTTTAAAACATTTCATGTGTCATTGCATCAAAACGTAAAAGTCACAATGATAAATCCCAAACTTGGGAAAACAAAATAATATGAACATTGTTAAAGCTGTACACAAATATATTTAAAAAATCGAAAAGATTTTTATGAATAACCAGCGTAATAACCATTCTGTATCTATTACAACCCCTTTCCTTTCTTTCCTTGCACCCCCCCCCTTTCTTATTTCTTTGCACTATTTGTATTGTACATTCGTTTGTTGTACATCACGTGTATATGTATATGTCACTTTGTTTGTGTTGGAGAGGACAATCTAAGTTGGTAAAACTTGTGTCCAGTCCTACTGATTATGTTTCAATAAAACATGTTTAAATACAAAAAAAAATCTTTTGAAAAAAGAAAGGATTCAAATAAACCTTTTTTAAGGAAGTGATAAAAGCACGTCAATATATAAGCGTTCAAACACATCAGCGTCTAGATATAAAATTCAATTTTCAGTATACCGACCTTAATCTTGTTTGGATATTTTAAATTTAGTTTGAATTTTCCATCGGACACCTCCAACCAAGGTTGACCATTGTCCAGAGAGAGTTCGAATTCATGAGCGCACCGGCCAGTATTGCATTGTCGGTACCGGCGAACCATCACACCAGAATCCTTCTCAGGGTTAAACAGAATATACAGCAGCAAAAAGGGGGTGGATTTCCCCTGCATTTTGTAGGTTAGATAACTTTTGCTATGCAGATTAATTCCTTTATTTTCAGGATCTGAAAAATTAATCTCGAAAATAATACAGAGTTCAAAAATTTAAGATTTATCAATAAGTAATTACTCACATTGAATTAATACTGTAAAGTTTACAAAGGACCACTTCAAAGTCCTATTGATTTTTATAAGAATAACACCAACTTTTCACTAATTCTTAATTATCTCCCCTTGAAAGGGGTGTGGCTCTTCATCTGAACAAACTTGAATCCCATTCAAAGAACTGAAGGATGCAAGTTCAGGCCTTTGCCAGTTTTTTTTCTCTGCTTAGCATCCATCCATCTTTCAAAAACCTACCTACATTTTTCAACAACCTACCTACCTATTCGCAAAAAACACACAAGCCAAAAAATACACAGACTTTATATTCATAAAAAATAACGTCTATGTTATAGTTACACTATAGATATTAATTGGTTAGCTGTAAATACACTCACAGTTTTTCATTCACGAGGGGCGGAGCCCCGAGTGAATAAAAACTGTGAGTGTATTTACAGCTAACCAATTAATATCTATTGTGTAAGTTACTTGTACCAGAGGACCAATGAGAGAAAAGCGAGTTGATAAATAGCACCGCCTACTACGAGGTGTCAAGACACGGTCCGGAGTCTGTATAAATAGCTGTCTCCATCTGCAAGGATCATACTTTACTGCGGCACTGCTACTACAAGTTGTTGATTGAAAAATCGGAATTGGTACGTGTGAAGATATTGTATCTTTGAAATGTTGAAGACGCAGAAAACATGATTTTTGTCAGGTACAGGTATAGGGGTAGCGATTGTAGGCTTTTATGTTCAAGCCGTCAACTCTGAAAGAAAATTTATCTTTCTAGATCGTTTTTTTTTTTTTTTTTTTGAAAAAAGGGGGGATGGATATGGGAAACATCGGCATTGAACTTTTTCTTTATGGCAATCGGCGTACAGAAAAAAAATGAAATGATTTGTGACATTTTAATGAAAGTTTGAAATGGTATTGGAAGTAAAAAAAAATGCGGGGACTTCTGATGTGAAATTGCTATATGTATTTGGAGACGGGAAAGAAAATGACGAGAATTCGAGATAGGACGTATCATTTACTAAACATACAGAACCATTTATGAAGCGGACACCGACAAGCTAAATAATGTTAGTATTTTTGAAATTTAAAATGTTGACTTAATTCATTCATCAGCCATTGCCTTGGTCTTGAAATTGACATCATTCATTCATTAGTCAAGGTCTTGACACAGTATGGCTTGATGCCAAAAGGTGGGCGTGACTTAAAAAAACTGTGATTCTTCTGGCAAATACACCACAGCAACATGAAAGCAAAATCTAAATTTACCGCCAGTCCTATGGTACAACACAGGGTTACCGTTTGATTTCACAAATATATTTTTCTCGTAGAAAGATATATTCTTAAGTAAAATCAAATGTAATAAATAGCTAGAATACACCTAAACTGCAGACAAATAAATAAAGAAATTGAAAGAATTCAAGGATTTTGACGAAGAGTTACTGAGTAATCAGTCTAAGGACTTCTGATTCTGTTTTTTTCTGACCTGAGGTGACAAAAATGAAGGCGCAGGGGGGGGGGGCGCTAATCATGGGGGAAAAAACTTGCAATGACCCTACTGATAAAAATAAAATACATGTAGCACTCCTAAACTACATGCATAAAAAACATAAAAATGTACGCATGAAAGTTAGTACGATAATGCATAAAATATCGATTCCTAACTTTTTGACAGATACAAAATGACCCTTTCGCTGATGTGCTACATAAAAAGTGTTCTACCGGTACATGCATGCAAAGTTACAATCACAACCACCAACGGACATAACATAGGGTGCATTTTGGTGGATATTTCAAATGTCAATTCTCTCATTCAGCCGGAATTTTCTAATTTCATTTGGGCGAATTACCACGAACCTTATCTCCCGATTCCCGCCTACATTTTACACATTTATAATTCAACGTCATGTTTGGCATATTTGCTATTTTTTTTTTTATTGCAAAGTAGACTTCGAAATTCAATTGCGATTGATTTGTTACTTTAATAGCCGTGTAAATTAATTAGTTACTGTTAAATACAACTCTTTTCTGATTCCGTTGAAATCACACTTTAAAACGTAATAAGATTTTAAAATACTCATATAAGTGGATAATCTTACAGTTTGATAAACATCTGTTAAATTAACTATATCTGTTTCATTAAGTTATAGTTACTAGTTTTATATCATTTAAAATTGGTCATAAAATGACAATTTTCGCCATGTTTTGTTTCAACAAAAGCTTTAATTGGTATGGATTTGCTAAATATTTGTATAATAATTTCATTTTTACCAAAAATTTACAGTTATCTCTTTTTCTCTTGATATATAATTAGAAAATTGATGTACAGTAAATATCTTTATAAATTCAAAAAAATAATTGGAATAGTAACTTTTTTAGGCGGCGGACAATACTATCGTTCACAGTTTTATTTGGGAGATGATAGATTATTACACAACTTCATAAAGCACATAGAGTAATAAAAACATCAAGTAATCGTTAGTATGAATAAGAGTGAGTTACTTTCCAAAGTGTCAAGGCGTGTTGCTATAGAAAAAAGAAAGAAAAAGCTCTCTAGAGCCGTTTAACATCAGGTGCAATGATTCATGCAAGTTGTGAATTTCAAAATACTAGTACCAAGCCCATGCTGATATCTAAATTCGTGTAAAGTAACGATCAGTAATGTGTTCATTAAACTTTAATCACGTATGTTATGTGCAATATTTATAAATTTTAGGCCAAACAAAAAAAATATGTGTGGTTCCGGTTACACTTCCAAAAAAATTAGGGTAGGTAGGTAGGGATTTTTTTTTCTTTTCTTTTTTTTTTTAACAAAATGATTTTCTTCATTTTTTCTAAATAATACCTATCACTGCTTTGCAAATGGCATTTAGATGTGGTGTGATAATATACTAGTCAATATTGGTAGGGGACGCCTACATGCTAGCTTGCTTTGGATTTAACACTATTAAACACTTGCACTATGTTTTGCAAGGAGGTCGTCATTGCTGAAACTAAAACTTAAACTGGAGCCATTGATGGAAATCGGGGGAAATTCCGGAAAAAATATGAAAATTGCCAAAAAAAAGTTTAGGGTCGGGGGTATAAAATAGGGAAGGTCGGGTAACCGGAACCACACATATTTTTTTATTTGGCCTTAATAATATTATACTCCACTTTGCCGACTAGGAGGACAATAGCAATCTACCACCCCCCCTCCCACAAGATAGCAATTATTTCCCGAGGGGCAAAAAAACCCGCTATACGTAGTTCTCTTAGTCAGTAAATACAATGTAGGTGTTTTATTAGGGGATAACCATTTGAGTCTGAGGGGGGAGGGGGAGGGCTGGCAAAATTTTTCGAGTCAGATTATTTATTTTCATGCCAGTCAAAAACTGATTATTTATTTTCAAGAAGATGATCATGGACAGATTGTTTATTTTCTTCCTCTCTGAAAAAGTCTGACAAGCATTAAAAAAAAAAAAGGAAAAACGCCTAAACTCCAAAACTCTATTTCGTGTATGTGTGTGTGTGTGGGGGGGGGGGGGTACCACTGGTCAAGGACAGGTTCTTTATTTCCTTGCCAGTCGAGGAGAGATTATTTATTTTCAATATTTTTGAGGACAGATTATTTATTTCCACCCCACCCCACCCCCCCCCCCCGGAAACAAGGTCGTCCCCTTATACCGAAGCAGACTTTACTTGTGTCAGGTCACAATCCGCATAAAGCCAGAAGAGTTCCAAGATAAAACGCAAGGGAAATGGAATGCTGTAGGACAATAGTTCGATGGCTATTACAAATGTACACCATTGGCAAATCGATAACACAAAAACTAAAATTTAAAAAAAAATCACAGAAGTATAATAAAACTTTTTAGCAGAGAAGTAATTTCTTTTCCATTTGCGGAAATGTAATATGCCTTAACTGAAACTGTAAAATTCGTGTTTCCTTAGACCAGAGTTCTGGCGACCGTTTCACTAACAGGTCGTACCTCGTAAACGTAGACGTAAACGTGAACGTAGCACGTAAGTGTGTTTCACTAAGAGTTACGAATTGAGAGTTACCTTTAAAGTTCCAGGGTGGAGCCAAGTTTTTAAGGTATCAAAATTAAATTCTATTCCTTTATTTGTTTTGTTTGTATTTTTGTTTGGTTGGTTTGTTTGTATTTTTCTTTGGTTGGTTTGTTTGTATGTTTTGTTTGCTTTTTGTTTTCTGTAATTGTGGCTACTCCTCAGCATTGAGTAGGCAGCTTTACATGCTACAGGTACGATGGAAAAATCAGGAATTCTTCTCGAATTTTTTTAAATTCATGTGACATAGATTAGATCTAGAGTCCGAGTGGGTGGGGGTAAGGGGTCATTTTATAATTTTTTTATTTCGAAATTATTAGTATACCTCTACTAATTTTTCACTAAAAAAAGGTAAATCGATTTATTTTGCTGATTCCTTGAAAATCGCCGTAAAAAGACTGATTCCCTGCAAAAAGGTGCGTCAGTTTGATGAGCTGATAGACTGATACACACCTATTCGGAACACCTCACAGTTTCTTTTAGTTACTTGAAGAGTTCCGATATGCCTTGGGAAATAAGCTTGCTCTTGGGGAATTGGAACCTTGCTGACTCCCTGTATGATATACTTTAAGTGTATAATGATACCCAGGCGATAGTCAAGGCCTATTGGCATCTTGTGTTCAATGAAAAGGTAAATCATGAAAAAGATACCTCGTTTAACTTACTACTCTCTCTCTCTCTCAATTTGTGCTTTTGAGTGTGTGTAGATAATTATAAAGTTCGCCGACAGGATGAGCTGCTGTCATGTTTTAAATTTCGTATTTACCGGGTGGGAGTAATTACAAAATTTAGAACATGACACAGCAGATCTTAAATCAGTTGATTTTTTATGCTTTTAGTGTGCAAATATTCTTTGCTCATGAGTGCGAATCTTCTTTATTGATTACGTCAATGAAAAGGGGAAATTTATTTACTCTAAATCCCATTGCAGCATATTTCTATAAGCCATGACATACACCACTGAATTATTTTTTGAAAAGAAAAACTCATTTTATATAAAAGCCCTAAGCGCAAAAATCCATTCAATAGTTGTTGATCAGGCAAGACACTTTTTTTAAGTAATCAGAATTTTGCTATGTGTGATAAGCTATAAACAAACTCGTTAAACATTTCAATCATATTTTAATTCAACAATAAAATGATTCAACAGTTCATCAAAGTTGTGAGGAAATAGTCCATTCACAATAAATTCTGACGCCGTAAGGACCTGCGAAGAAACTGTCCAGCAGACTGCTTTTCAATCCTGAAAAAGAGCACACAAAAAAACTTAGTTCGGTGATAATTATCTTGTGGGATAGTGAAATCAGAAAGTCTTTATCCTTGCCCTGTCATTGAGGATTCTGCATATTACATCAGTGAATTAAAAAAAAAAGAAATAAAAATTCTTTATAAATGTTCTTACTTTCTAGACAGTTCAGTTGTGTAGATATTAATCCACATGGACAGTGCTTTGGATCGTTTTTCCAATTCTTTCAGTGTTTGCTCTGAAAATGAATACAAACAGCTATTGAAATGAGTCGTATATGTATAATAAATGACAATTTTCTCAAACTTTAAAAAAAATCTATTTTTAACTGTTAATTACCTTTCTCTTTTCTCTGTTCTCCCATAGCTTTGAATTCGACACTAATCTTCCATTTCAACTGTTTGTTTTCTGCAAAAGGGAGTAAAAATACATGTATTTAGACCAACAGATAAAAAAAAACAGAGAACAAATGTTATAAATGATTAAGATGCAGAGTTAATAATAACCTTCTGCTAGACTGGCTACTGTCTTATGCATCACATCAATGCGCCCCCGGAAGTCAAGGACCATCCAAACAAGTGACACACACAAAGCCATGAAGGAAGAGAATGCAGATAGACGAATGATGCCTTTAGAAGAAATGGAAGAAAGAATGTCTCTGACAAGAAAGAGTTCCTGAACTGACATAGAAAGAGCCTTCTGAACAAAGTCCAAGCCGAATCCGACGAGAGATGAAACACTGCTGACAGTTTTACCAAAGCAACTGTAAACACATGATGAAACTCTGATGGCATCATCACTGAACTGAACTGACAGTGTCTCCACATAGTCCAGGATGTCAATAAACATCGAGAGAGTGTTTGAGGAGAGAGTGAGAGCGAAAGTGGAGAGAGAGTCCAAGGCACATACACTGCTGGTGGCGAGAGAGGCCGAGAAATTGAAGACCATCTCATCGACACTGAACAGCGTTTGCTGAGAAAAAGAGAGAAGGAATTAGAAATAGAACACAAGACAGAAGGATGCCATAATGCAAGAGAACATATTGACAACGGTATATTTTTACTTACCGAAATGTGCCAAGTGGCTTGCGTGGTCATATTCCACATGCTCTGTACAAATCTAAAATAAATTTAAAAAAAATAATAGTGAAAACACTGAAATTTCTCGGTAAACACGAATATGTAACGCAGAAGGGAAAATGTAGCGCGCCCCCCCCACCCCCCCCCCCCACTTCATAATATTATTTATTAAAATAACTGCTAATGATTAATGACGAATATCATTATAACTATATATTTTGTATTTTACATCAGATTTGAAGAGATAATAGCAATGTCCATGAATTTATTGGGATATTGTCGAGAGGAGATCAAGACCGTATCTAAGGAAAAAACACTCAATGACGCCATCATTTTTATCAGATTTAATGTACATTTCTAAATATTAATTAATATGCTTATATGTACTCTTACTATTTAATTCCTTTATAGGATAACACTTACTCATACATGTCTGGCATTTCCGGGATGGTGGCCGGACCAGCGGGAATCAGCAATAGAGCGATTACGAATGTTGCGATGCGCATCTCAAGACTGTTGTTTTTCAACTGATGCTGAGCTACGGGAGAGCTTGTTTATATACCCTCCTGTATTTTTGCACCTTTCTGATTGGTTCAATTTTGAGCGCGCTGATTGGCGATTAACGGCTGGTTTGGAAAGAGCGCGAAAATGTGACGGACCATCAGTTGGCCATCTTGAACGACGATTTTGTGCTACTGGTCTAAAAAAAATTGAGTATCTTGTCGTAACATTACGGTTTAATTGACAAATAATATCGGATATAAGATCAGTTTTAGGTGAGCTTTGATGATATGTTAAAATATTTGTCAAACTTTATTTATTTTTCGAAATTTATTCAAATTCTTGATAATTTTTAAGTGATTTTCAGTTTCGGAAACTGATTAAAAAATTTTTTGCACCCTTTCTCATCTTATTTTCTTTTAAAATTTATTAAAATCTAACAAAACATATACAGAGGCAGTATTTGGTACAAAAGTTTATAGACTGTAGTTGAATTAAGCATCATAATTTCGCCATCAACACGAAAAACAAAACACAAACAATAAAAGCACCAATATGTGAAAACCTTTTTCGCACTTATTGTATTTTTTGCCAGATATTTAGGAGAAGAAAATAATGTTAATGCTATAAAGCGTTGAAAATTATCTGAATTGCTTTAACGTAAGCTTTTATTACAATGTTTTAGATTCTCCACTAGACTTTCCCCTAACCGCCATGTTTGTTTACAGTTTACCTTAGCTACGACGCCATGGTAACTTCAACGCATTCGGAGTACACTCCGTAACGTTCACAGAATGTTACGAGTATATTTCGCGGGGAATACACAGAATCACATAAAAACAATATTGTGCGGGTGTATTGGTTTGCTAAATTCCTCATAAAACTGATAGTCATTTCACGTAATAGATCTGAGGGGAAGTTTCTAGTATGCCGGACAAATGCACTTTACCGGTACGTACAAATTACAAGCTACTGCGCATGAGTGGTTATTTCCCTTGCCGTTGCTATGATGTAAGCGGCCATTTTCCCCTCGCTTCTACAAAACGCATTCGATCGAGTGATTAGGGTTAGAGTACATATGTACATAGTTTTAACATAGGAACTGTTTTACAAATCCCCTCTTAAATCTTCCTGACTTTGGGTTAATTTAAGACATGTAATTTTTGCTTCCAAAAGGCAATGCTATATAGGCCCTATTAAAGTGCCTTTTGTGACCATGAAACATGTAAACAGACCAGGAATTTTCTCCTAACTTAAGCAAACCATTAATTAGATATAGGTGCATTGTATGCGATCGAAAGATTAGGGTTAGAGTATAATTATATAGTTCGTAGACTGTGTTTTGTATGTAGGCCTAGATCTCATCTACCATGCCTGCATTTCCATTAATTTGGACTAATTCATGCAATGTTTGCTTACAAAGAACAGGAAAGTTTTGTGACGGAAAATTTGGAAAAATTAGCCTAGGGTCTTATGTCAAAACATGCCCGATACTGTGCGCTTAGTTTAGGCAAGTTATTGGTAAAAGCGACTTACCGTTTACTTGAGCTCGATATCATGACCTCCTAATGTCCATATTCAAAATATTTTTCCTTTCAAATCGATAATGATGCACAATTCAATCAACTAACTACAAAGTCATTAGTTACCATTTGTTAAATCCCTGAATTTCTTACAAAAATCCCACAATTTTAGTAGCATTTCACTTTGAGTCCTATCGGCTATTTCTTTATTACGTCAAAACACAAGTGACGCACTTCATGAATATGTATGAGATTACGTCAAAAATTGATCATGTGACTATAATCATGGCGTTTTGCCCACTAAACCAGGAAGTTTTAATTCTTTAAAAAACTGTTTAAAAACCCAATATTTCAAAAGGAACACGAATTTTGGCTAAATTTTGTAATTTGTGGTCTTTTTCTATTTTGTCACGCGATCATATTTTATTGTACACAGCCTTCGACGGCACGTCTACCCCCCCCCCCCCCAAAAAAAAAAAAAAAAAGAAGAATAAAACTACAAATGCTGTTTCTACTTTCATTACCTGTCGTATAAAAAATCTTTATTTTTCAAACTAAATATTGTATATGACTTAAATGCATTTGAAAAATACGAAGCACACACTGAATATGTGCATGAAACGTTTTTGTTTTGAAGTTTCTGAATATTTCCTAAATTTATAGCAAATTTTTCTATCATGGATTCTTCATTAAATTATATTTTAAAATGTTTGTTGATTTACTTTATTCTTCATATTCTGTTACCTTATTTATACAATGCATACCTGTCCGAGAATTTTAAAATGTTTACAGTTTTATAATTATCAGAAAAAATAAAAGAAATTCAGAATTAAAACGTATCAATTACATACGCACCCCCTTGTTTTTCCTAAAATGCAACGACCGTTTTCAGAATAAGTCTTCCCACCTACTGAAACTTAAATGCATACCCTATTTGTTTAAAGCTGTTTATTATTTATGTGAAGTTTTACTTTGTTATTGTACATGTAACTGTTCTGCACTCACAAAATGTGATTTTTCTAGCATTAAAAATTTAAAAAGCAAAAAAATTATTTTAAAGTCTTAAACTTTTGCTGAATTTAAGCAGATTGATTAAAGTTATCTTATATATTCAGAAAAGAAAAACAAAAGTGGGGGTCTATGATATAATAAATTTTTAAATATTACTAAAAAAGTGTTAATTTTATGTTAAAATTGGCTCAATTTTTTCCTGGACTTTCAGAATATATCTACTATATTTGTCACAATATAATGAAAGAATTCATAAGAAATAATTTAATAGATATTTCAGAGCCAGCATAAAACATTTCACTGCAAAAAACAGCTCTGTGTGCAACCAGCATGGAAAAAAAGGAATCTAAACTTAACAGTACTGTATATATTCCAAAAGGGAAAAATTGGTCATTTTCTTCTAAAAAAAAAACCTTCCGCCACAAAATATAGTTCCTGGCTTAATCCTATTTTAATGGAATTTCATCGCGGTTTTTTCATTGGATATAGTTTAATTTGCATTGTAGAATCCAGATTCAATGTTAGAACATAAAAATGATGCAGAATTTTAGAAATAAAGGTCCTGACCAAAATCTGCTCAAAAGCTCAGGATCGAACCTCCTTAAATATTACAACTTGAAAAGGTATAAATTTCTATGTATTAGTATATAACGTTTTGTGCGTAACTTTGTAAAGTCTGTCCAGCTGTGGTCAGTCGACCAAATCGTCTGTTTGATTGGGCATTTAAACTTTAAATTATTCGTACACACGATTCCTGCAGATCACACGCCAAATAGCCCTTCTTCTTTGTGAGTAAGGGTGACCAACGAAATCCAGGAACATTCGTCCCCCAAAACAATGAGGGTTCTAGGGTACTCACTGTACTGTCATGTTTACTGCTACCCGACTAATTCAAATTTACAGCATGACAGTATTCATGGTCACCAATCATGATCTATGACACCAATGATTGTAGCCTCAAATCAGCTAATGGTCACGTGATCTTATCATGAAATCAAACTTTTAATCAAATATGCAATTAATTACAGTTATCAGTATGACACTGTGCACAAGCAAGGAAATAGAATTTTGTGAGATCGGTTTAGAAATGACATTTGAATTAACGTATTTAGTTTCGATGTTTGAAATTATCAGTACATGTATCTAATAAAATTTGTATATCATGACTTGTCAAAATCGCCTACTGCGAATGTCTGTAGATCTCATAGCCACCGTACAACAAGGAAGGGGGGGGGGGACATCCATAACCCCCGGTCTTTTTTTATTTAATTATCTATATGAAAAGAACCCTGGCCAAAATTTCAAAAACAGTAAGGAAAATGTGTCTATTAACCCAATAAAGAATTTTACTTGAACATGGCTCTCGAAAGCAGTGGGCAATTTCTGTTCCAGATCCGTCACAGATTTTGCCACCATTAGGAAATGGGTCAGTACACGTTCTCTCACGCAGATGGATGCCTTGTCCGCAGGTCCGACTGCACTTTGTCCAGCTACCCCAGTTCGCCCACTTTCCATCAACTGAAAAAGGAAAACCGATTTCAAATGTATTAAATATTTTTTCATCACTTTACAGCTCCGTGAATTAATAGACGAAATATTTGAAGATTATACAGAATTATAATCATTCTGGTGAATTTACTAATGCACAGTATATAAATCTTGTACGAATTTGCAAGTGTCTTTACAATAGAAAACAAAGGTTATCCACCTTTATCATTTTATCAGTATATTCTACTCGTTAAAACAAAGCTAATTCTTTGGTGCATCCCCTCAAAAATTCCCCTTTTTTAACCTGTCAAGAATTTCTTCTAAATTATTCCCCCATAAACACACACGCGCACCCACACATCTCCACCACCAAATAAAATGCTTTCTATGGGACTCGTACCACAAATAATCAATATCCAAGATGTGTGTTGTTTTTTTTGTTGTTGTTGTTGTTAAATAATCCCTAAATTGGTGGATCAACGAATTGAGAACTAGTATTACCACAACACAGTGGTTGATTACACTCGCACTCAGCCTTCTAAAGGTTTATATAAATAGTATGATATGAATAAAAATAGAAAGAAGATGGGTGAACATGACGAGCGATAAGCCTATAGTGTGATAAACATGAAGATGAAAAATTAAATTTCAATTATATCAAAATTTTCCTTGATATTTCGTCCAACATTAAAATATACTTTATGTAAAATCTCTACAATTTGCATAAATCTCTCAAAGATTGAAATTATTTGCCTATGAAATATTATATACACACTAAAGCGGACAAAGAGAGTCATTTTCTCATACTATAACACAATTTTTCGATATTAGTGGGTCTTCGCTCCACTTTTTTGAAAGTTAATCCTCAAAGTTTGCATAAAAATATACATTTTTGGTTACCAAAAATATGGAGCAATGACCCACTATACCTTAAAAATATACTTTCAGGACACATTTGCATCTTGTCGAGAAATACTTGAAGTCCATTAAGTCAAGGGTCATATCACAAACATGATTTAAATGCCACTCTTCATCAGGACTTGTGTAGTCTAGTGGTTAGCGTGCTAGTCTCGAAAGAAAATGATACATGTACTCAGGATTTTTATTGCTAGGGTTCGAACCCCATGAATACCACATTATTTTTTTAATAAAAGAATAAATTTTGCCGAGAAAATTTTCCTCAGAAAAGTTTTGTTTATCATAATGTCATAAATTTCAATAATCAGAACTTTACCCTTAATTAATACTAAATTCACAAACTGAACATGATTTTTATATATCTGAAGCTATAGGCTTTCTGCACGCTATGTTCGCCCATCTCCTTTAAAATATTTTGAATTTTACATAATTAGATATACCTGGACAAGTTCTAACGTTGCATCTGCTGACCATCTTTGTGCCATGAGCTGAACATTTCCGTAACACTTTCGCTTCGGCTGGAAGATTCGAGTTATCTGATCTTGGTAAGTAAGCTGTTCGTCTGCGAGAACGTTTATTGCGTACTGGTGAAATCTGTTTCACAATTTTAGTTGTTTTTCTTTGTTCTTTTGCCAATTGTTTTGCTTTATATCTAGTTCGTAAATAATCCTCATATGGTAATGCCTCAGCTGGTTTCCCATGCTTTACAAGAGAATGACTCTTTTTATCACCCAGACCTTTATCCGTAGGAAGGCTTCGAGGCACATTTGAGAGCTGTTTGGTTGACGTTTTGGTCTCTTTAGTCAGCACTGGGCCCTTTGTGTGTTTTGAGCTAATGTCTCCTTTTGGGAGGATAACACACCCCCTATTTCTGACTCGTGTCCCTTTCTGTCCACAGGGATGAGAACAATTGCTCCAGGAACCCCATTCACCGTATCGCAAATATGTTTCTTTAGAATAAAAAAAAACAGCGAGAAATGATGTAAAATAAAATTATACAATAAAAACACTATTAATTTTGCTTTTCAAAATTTGAAGTAGCAATAAAAAGAAATAAATTTAGATTAAAAAAAAAGAACATTACTTTTACATGATTTCATGTCACATTCCCTCTTCTCTGAGGAAAACTCTGAGCAAGTTCCGCCAGCTTGTGGGTAAGGATTATCACATTTTCGATATCTCGTCTGCACACCCGGACCACAGGTCACAGAGCAGACAGACCATCCCATCCAATCACTCCAACCACCCTGCACTAAAAAAAAAACCCAGACGTCATCATTTATGTTCAACATTACTAAAATAATGAAAAAAAAACTTTTTTTTTCGTTTGTATTCCTAGTAAAACAAGTTATAACCTGAATATATCGAATAAATATATGTACATGTATCTATGTAAATATTCGCCATATATTCTGATATTCAGTAATTAAGCTTACAATGATACTCTGTTTGATAGTATTTCATTATAAATTTGCATTTGCACAAAAAGTTTTAAACAAATTTAAATTGTCCAAAAAAAAAAATCATTGGATATCACTTTCCACAAATCTCGACATCATGTTCCAGATTAAATAAACATGTACATGTATGTCATAATGTTAATCGTAATACTGAATAACTATTCAACTAAAAAAAGAAAACAAAACACAAAAAAACCAAACAAACAAACACACTACTGACACACCCTCACACCAGTTTTTATTATTATTTTCATTTTTTTTTTGATAAAAGAGCCAATCATATCTGAAAATTTTTGTCTTTACACTACACAAAAATAAGTTAAGTGTAACAAATAATACACTAGTTTATTTTCTAGATAAAAAGTTATCTGGATTAAATTTAATAAAATGATTTTCTTTTGAATTAGCAGTGACCCCTTTATAGGTTCAGTAAGGTATTAAAGAAAGTTTTTACATTACCTGAATAAAATACCATAAAAATCGTAAATCGGCAATAGTTTGAAATAAACACACAAATAATGGAAAAGATGGAGAAATACCTTGACATTTGGCTGTGTTACACATTTGTCTCTGAAATATTTCTCCCGAGCATTGTCCACTTAATTTACAAGCTCTCTCCCTCCATCGGAACCCCCCTTCACAGGACTTGGTACACGGTGTCCATTCACTCCATTGGGTGTAATTCTTCTCCATACTTCTTATAAGTGGAATACTAAACCTGTCTCCTGTAGCAGGAGTATCCTAAAGAAAATACAAGGGGGGGGGGGTTAAGTGTGAAGTGTTCCTTATTAAAGTAATAAATATGTGTTAATCTGTCTTACAACAAAATTCTTCTGAATAAACGAGCAGCTAGAAGATACACAAAATGTGGAGAATGGGTATTTAATGTTAACCTCTGATTTTGGACCTATTTTCATATCTGATCCGGTTCTCTTAAAGTCTTTGACATCGTTGTTCCCTGCAAATAGGAAAAGTATTGAAATTGAGGATTCGACCGTATTGCACCAAGAAATTCGGGGTGAAGGTGGGGGGGGGGGGGGGGAGGGGGTGGCCTTTCAATGAAAATTTCCATGATTAATGAACATCAAAAGATAATTCTTGAAAAATATGGGGAGAGGGTTGGCATGAACGATATGGTCTGTGAATGATTTTATTGTCGGTATGAGCATATTTTTTTTTAATACAAAAAATAACCTTTTTCATCGCAGTGTTTGTTTTTCTGTTTTTAAAGTTGTGATGGCATCATTCTTTAAAATAAATAGAAATCTTACAACTGTCATCACAAGGGCCTCTACATATACTTGTCTCTACTTCGTTGCCAATGCAGGAAGCACTTCCGGTCGGAAATGGTAAATTACACAGACGGAATTGCAACTTTCTGCCAATGCCGCAGCGGGCGGAACAAAAATCCACTCTCTGCCAAGAGGACCAGCCTCCTTTAGCTGAAAAAAAAAATATTGTTCATCTTTGGCCTTTTCATAATGAGAAATTTTTTTTTCAAAACACAAGATTTATTACAATCTTTTCTTTACCCGAACATTCGCCTTGGTAACATGGTTTGGTGATTATTATTTTGTTTACATTCTTCCCAAGCTGATGGGTGCAGTGGTATGGCTTCAGGCACATTCGCTTTTTTACTTGAACTCCGTATTTTCCACAGGAGACGGAACATGGAGAAAATTCAGACCAATCAGATAAGTGGTGTCCATAGATTAAATCTAACAATAGATGAATAATTTCATATAGTTTATATAATCAATTTATCTTCCTTACTTAATTTAATTCTTTATTTTTAAATTACTTTAGGAATAAAACATGGAAAAGGCTTTAATATATAGGCAATGTCTGGTGCATAATCCATTTAAACCCGTTCAAATCAGGAATGAATATCAAAATGCCATTACCAATGTTATTCATTTTGAAATTCAGTTTGCAAACGCAGAATCTTTTCCACATAAAATAAAAGATAATCATGATGATTTTACCTGCTTTAGTACAATCTGTACCAAAACACTGGTGGTTTTGGTAGGCGGATCCTAAACACTGGTATCCACCATTTTTAGGATTGGGTTTGCTACAAGATCTCTCCCTATGACGATAACCCCATCCACACACTGGCTGACATGATGTCCATTCTGTCCAGTGTGACCATCCACCGTCCACTGGACATTCACGATCAAAATAGACACAATGCATACTGGCCCAGTACTTCTCCTTTTTGATATAAAATGAAAATTTTAAACTTCATCATAAAAACCCGTTTGAACTTTTTTTTTCTTTATAGGAAGTCCTAAAACTTAATTTATACAGTTGATTTTGCAAACCACAGTCCTGATATCTACATTGTGTGGTAGTGTCATTTCTAATTAAACAGAAATCACCCGTTGTCACCAAAATTTACCATAATTTTGTAATTTCAAAATTTGAACCATTCAAAATCAGAAATCACATTAATAAGACATATATGTGAATTTATACAAACAAACCCGAGGAAGTCCGAATTACTGGTGGAAACAAACCTTCTCTTTGCCAACAAGATAGTGAGATAGATCATCATATAGGCAATGCCCCAATCTGCATTCATGTTTTAGTTTAGGAAAGGCGTGATTCATAAAGTTGAGATAGGTCCGTGCTTCTTTTCTGCTTGTGACTATAATAAAAAAAAATAATGTTAACACTCTGGGTCGATTAGTTAGATAAAAGAAGAAAACAATCAAGTTTGTTTGTATACCTTCCTTTTTGCAGTGTCTAATGCACGTCCGACTTTCGACATTTGGACCAGTGCAGTGGCTTCCAAACCTTAAGGGGGCAGGGTTATTACATAATCTGGTTCTATTCTGTCTTCCCTCCAAACCGCAGTTACTTCCACATTTGGACCAGCCTGTCCAAGCACCCCAACTGCCATCCACTGATATCATTACAGTTATTAATTCAAAAATGTCTTTAATATATATGTTTAAGCTTTTCCTCAATTAATGATTTTCTATAAGATGATTAAAAACAAAATATTGCGATCTTAAACAGTTAAAGTGTTACACATTCTCATTTTTTTTCTCCCATGTATGATGATCTAAAGAATCATATATGTTTTAAATTAATTTTAAAAAAGCTCACCTGGACACAGTTTAACTTGCTTGAATTTATAGCAGTAATAGGTTTGATAGAACCTCTCCTGTTTAAGAAAAATCACAAATTTGTTCAGACAAAAATATGTCTATATGTAAGATTTCGTAATAACCACTGTATCAAATCCTTAAGTTACTTTTTGCACCCTAATGTTAACCCCTCCCCCTCCCAAATATTCAGTCCTCTATTGGTACCTTTTTAAGTTGTGTTTCTCCTGGCTTAAAAAAGTTTCGCTTTGTCTTCTTAGAGAAAAACCACTTCCTGGGACAAAGAGGGTTTACTTTTCGTGCGCAGTAGTTGCGGAAGTAGTCCCTGTTTTGGAGTGAAGACAGATCACCCAGAGCTTTGTTAAAAACGGTTTCCAGGTATTCCTCATCTTCTTTTTTTAGCGCTGATAAATGTTTTAAAAGAAATGAATTGCATTTCAGCTATCTAGTTTGTTTGAAAACATATTCTAGAAAAATACAGTTACTGTACTAAATTTCACTGTCTCCTCAAAGAACAGAATCACTTTCATGGAACGATTTTTAAAAGAGAAGCTGTGCATGTTTATAATGGATATAAAACATTAACATATTATTTTTGTTATCTTACCGTATGCACACTCTAATAGGAGGGCAAGAAGCAAACCAGTCCCGAATACCTTCAAAAGAAATATTTGTTAGAGGCACTGAGAAATATATACCTGGGCAAATTTATAAATGATAACATGTTATTATAGTCGTACACTTTTATACATTGTATTCCTTTTAACTGAAGTAGTACAAGATTATTGTTGAAATAAGCAATGTCATTTACTAATTGTTTTACTATTCATTGGCATATCTTTTCCTTATTATTGTAATAATTTCATACTTGTCTGTTCAGGGCTTTAAATTCGAAATAAATAAATGTTCTGTTCTGTTCGTTAATTATGGTTCACAGGCAATCTGAAATACCTATGATACATCTACAAAAAACCCGAAGCTAACACGTATTTGTGTTTTACAGTGAAGTGTGTGTCTGTTAATTGTAAAAGCCAAGTATGGAGGAATTAGGACCGTGTGTTGGGATGGGGAGTTAAGAGGGTTTCAATGTACTCGTCAACTTTATATTATTTGCTGTGTTTGTGTGTGTTGGGGGGGGGGGGGGGTTATCATACAATATTTTCGTCTTCTTAACGGCTACTTGCTAGAAAAAGATCTTTCATTTAGTTTCTTCAATTAGTTGGAAGCTCCTAGTCTCGTGAATATAAGGTATAGATTTTTGGATAGCCTAGTACAGTCAAATGCACCCCCCCCCCCTCCGATAAAAAATAACTGTACAGGCTTTCAATATTGCCTGCACTACTTGAGGTCTTGAAACGAGTCAGAACATTAAATAATTTTTTATGTTTCATAAATTTAGCCTACACTGATTCAAGAAAAGGTCTAAAAAACAAATAGTGCCCACAATACTCCCTATTTCCCCTCACTCTTTAGTGAACGACATCCTAGAACTTTACAGAAACTTAAATAAAAATCTGCAAGCAGCAATAAAAAGTCGCAGAAATATGCGGGGATAGATGTAAATAATACAGTACCTTATACAACATAAACATCACAAAAGAAACATGTCGATCAACCCGCTTTCTTTACATTTTTTCTAAACAGGAAGTCATCCATCTCCCATTGCAGAATAATACTACACGTCATTGATGTTTGATTATGACGTCATTTGCACATACACGAGTTGTGCGCCGAGTTGAAGTGCGCGGATCCAGAATGAATCTTCCAAGAATGGATGTGTTTCACCAGTAGCGTATATTCCTTCTGTTCATGTATAGGCTAATATGAAGTCACTTCAAGGTCCACCTCCTGTTGAAGGGAGGTGGGTTCACCCACGAAAAAAAAATGAAAACGATTTTAAGTAATAAAAATGAAAAAAAAGTTATATTTGAGTTTGCTGTTTATATTATAATTTTACGCTTTAAGCTGGTCTAAGTCCGCATGTGAACTTGAGAGGCATTCATGACTGTCATTTGACCAGTGAATAGGGAAATTATATATATAAAATATTTTAACAAAATTGAGACATTTTAATCCTGTACAATTCAACCCTTTACAGTGCAGACTGCTTAGGTAATAATAGAAATTTCCTTTTATAAATAATCGGATTACAAACAATACTTTGTTTTACGTTTTTCCAAATAATACCATTTTATTGGTGAATAATTAAAATTCAGTTTGCTTAGAACGCTTTTTTGTCATTTTAGTCAAACAAAAAAATGGTCTTTTCTGATTGATCATCTTTCTCACTTTTTCAATCATACTCCAGTATACAATTTTTACAACTTGAAAAAATGATGTGTAGGCTACAGCCCTTTTGCCTATATGGAATGGAATATACGCCACTGATCACAGGCACTTGTTTCTTAATAATTTTTTTGCATTTTAGTATTGTCTTTTAAACCTATATTTCTATTTTTTCTAAAGTTCGTGTAGTACTTTTTTTCGTGGCAGATAGACAAAAAGGGTAACAAATACCCTAGGTATCTAATTATGAGAAAATTGTATTTATTTCAGTCGCTAACGATAGGCAATAATGGAAGTGACCCAAACTATAGTCAAATCCATCTGCCTCTATAATTTGTAGTTTTACATATCATATTGCTACATGTATTTAAAACACTTTGATCGGATTCTCTTGCATATCCCGCCAAACCCCCTAACTCCGTTTCTACCACTCCGTCTTGTCCCCTACCGACAAGTGTATATAATCTGATTCCCATTAAAAATTGAAAATGCCATAATTCCGTCAAAAACATTGAAGCGGATCGAAATGAAAAATTGATCTTTAACATATCAAGGTAAAGTCGCGTACCAAAAATCAGCTCAATATCTGCAAGCGTTCAGAAAAAAAAAAATTGTAAAAGCACTTGAGCACTTTTCCCTTTACGCACTATTACATCGATATCTCCGACATATCGCCTAGGTCAATATGCTCATTTTCATTTCTGTAAGTCTTTATAATATTACATAATGAAGGTCTATATCAAAGGGTTAACATAAAACACGTTGAATACGGCTAAAAATATTTTATTTTTCGTCTACATTTCCCTAAACTCAAAAATCTAAGAGGTTGGGTGGGGTGTAGTTGAGAAGCCAAAAAGGAGGGGGGGGGGGTAATTATCACTTGGGAAATCTACTTGGTACGTAGGGAGACATGCCGCAACAAAGAAAAAAACAACAACAGAGGGGCCAGCATTTAAGGCACTGGTCTGTTGACAACTAGTTTGGAGGAAAAGTGTCTAGCCCTTGAATGTATGATGTAGGATGCGAAAAAATGTGTTATAAAAATTTGTAAAACAGTTTGGTAGGGGCATTATGTGTAAAAAATACTAGGTATATTTCTAAATAGTAGGCTCAGTACCTGTGTAGTTCAAGAACCACATTTCGAGGCCGACGCTAAGGGAGATGCTTTGAGTGCAATCTCAGTAACCCCCCTTTTTTACACAATTAAAATAATTGATTATTTGATTGATTGATTGTTGTTTAACGTCCCTCTCGAGAATTTTTCACTCATATGGAGACGCCACCACTTGAGCAGTGAGGGATCTTTTTCGTGCCAGCACCTACTGCGACACGGGACCTCGGTTTATACGGTCTCATCCGAAGGACCGGTCTCCACGTCCCACAGTGGGATTCGAACCCGCGACGTAGGATCAACTCCTTACTCCACGACTCTAGAGCAGACGCTCTAACCACTGCGCCACGCGGGCGACAAATTATTTGAAGTAATGCTGCTTGATTTTGTTGTTTTTTTTTTAATATTTGAAAGTCACCAATTTAAACCAACATTTCTGACTCGGAGGAGGCAGTACATGTACCCCTGTCAGACCCTCTTTCGCACCCCTCCTCCCACGACCCCTTCTTCAGAAACTTGACGACGGCTCTGCATTTGTACTTGTACTGAATGTGTTTCAGTTATCATTTCTCAAAACAGACGCATGGTGTTCATGATCAGTGTAACACTACACGTAATATTGGATATATATATATATATATATCTATCTATCTATCTATCTATCTATATATATATATATGCAATGCATTCAAATTTTTGAATATTTGTTTACATTGTTCAGTGATATTTCGGCCACATAATTCTACATTTACAAAGGTTTAACTCTATATTTCGAGGGAGTATAACCAAAATAATTTTAATGGAGTTGCCAATAACTTTTTAAAAGAAAAATATTAAAACACATTAGAGTTTTGAAGACATACTCTTGCAGATAATCCTTGTGATCTTTTTTTAAGAATTGACATCAAATGGATTTTCACTTCAAACCAGTTTATTAGGTCTAGATCTACAAGTTACGAAAAACAAGATGTGTTTGTGAAATACTGTTGTCCCCGTATGGCAGCTTTTTCAGAAGTAGGTCAAGGTCATGGGGTCAAAAATATTGATACCCAAAGAAAGGTCTTTTCAAAAGAAATACATCTGAAATATGAAAGCTTCAACACCAACCGTTCAAAAGTTATGACCAAGGCTAAAGTTCTTACTAAAGCCAAGGTCATGGTCTCGAGGTCAATAATGTTGGTAGCAAAAGAAAGGTCCTGCCACAAAGAGCCCTTCTGAAGTTTGCATAAATTAAACGAGTCATATGGTTTTAACGTCTATTATATATCTCTTTTATTCGTGCAAATTTGTACTTATTTGGGTGAAAACCTGGACATTAAGAGTGTACATGTGAAATATGAAAGCCCTAGCTAGTGTTAACCGTTCAAAAGTTAGGTCCAAAGTTAAAGTTTTTACAAACGGGAATTTTAAGGTCTTGATATCAAGGGTCTGGGTTTTTTTTCCATTTGGAAACAGTAACATTTGCTTGAAATTGGGAAAAACCCTTCATACAAGAAAAGTGTGGGAAAACGGTGCATAAAGGTATAATTTGACTCCCTCTACTTTCCTTTAATTTGGTCAAGGCTTATCTCAGCAGAGGCCATAAAATAAGGTTAACTAACTAAAACGACTTTGGGGGAAAAATTCTTATCTGTGGGACATTTCTTTTTCAGATTATGAACATAAAGGCTACCTTGCTTTGAATTTTTTCAATTATTAGGAATTTTAAAGCAAAAGTTGGGTAAAAAATGTTTTACTCAAAGAAAGTTCTCTCACAAGAAATACACATGTGATATATGAAAGCCTAAACACCAACTGTTTAAAAGTTATGGTTTACAAAAGTAGGACAAAAGTAGGTTAAACTCCAAGGTCAAGGTAAAAAATATTGGAACTCGAAATAAGGTCTCGTCACAAGAGAAACACATGTGAAATATGAAAGTCCTAGCACCAACCGTTCAAAGTTACATGAAATTTTTGCCATCATACAGACAGACAGAAAGACCAAAAACTATATGCCCCGAAACTTCGAGGGCACAAAATCTGCACATTTCGCATTGAAAAAAAAACTCTTCACAAAGTATATCTATATAAAAATTAGTTTGAAATTAATTGGTATATTCTGTTTGTTTCCTTTAGAAATTCAATTTATCATTTTAAAGAAATAAGAACGACGTTTTCTTTGCTGGACATTTCGCATTGAAAAAAAAAACTCTTCACAAAGTATATCTATATAAAAATGAGTTTGAAATTAATTGGTATATTCTGTTTGTTTCCTTTAGAAATTCAATTTATCATTTTAAAGAAATAAGAACGACGTTTTCTTTGCTGGACACCAGAATTTCTTCCTCACTTAGAACCGATATACCTCTTGGTCTTCGTAAAATGCAGGTTAGTGAAATTGTCCGCAAACATTCTCCATTTACGTTGATAATACAGATGCTATCTGTTTCATAAAATGCCATATAAAGACGATTTTCTTTGTCACAAGAAAGTGCACCTAGCTTCCCTGTAAATAAGTGCCGTCTCGATATTTGACCATTTCTATTAAGAAAAAACAGACAATCGGCAACTTTGTCTGTAACAGCGCAAGTCTTATTCGAAAGACAACAAACATGTAACGGCCTTGTAAATCTAAAAGGATTTCCGTCTTCGTCTGTAATTTTCCTTTCATCAATTTTAACATCATTGAATTTTATTATCTTTTCTTTTGTTATCCAAATCAACTCTGCCGAGCGTGATGTTAAAGCATACGCCCCTTTAAAAACTGTTTCTAATATCAAGTTCGGATAGGAAAAAATTTTGACTTCGCCTGATTGCGTTTTAAACGCAAGAAAACTACCAAACTTTGTAATGGCGGCTATACCTTTTACTGAGTGCGTTCGAATTTGAATGCCTTCCCCATTGGTTGTAACAATTACAGCTGCTTGGTTGTTCTCATCTGCAAGAGCAAAAGATGTTTTGTCAATCCACGTAATGCATGTGTAACTTGGGGACTTTTCGCCATATGTGACCAAAGCCTCAAATGTGTTTAAACACTTGGGAACATGAGCTGTTTCTGATTGTACAGCAGTTTTATTTTTCTGTGTTTTGGTATGAGGATTTTCTGCATTTGTTCCATCTGATTCATTGCTTGGTTTTCCTGACACTGATGCAGATATTTTAGGTTTTTCACCAGGGTTTTCTGGACACGCTCCTTCGGAATCTTGAGATTCTAGTAAACTCGTGATATTTATATTCAACGCTGAGGACGTTTCTGTGTCATTTCTTGCTGTAGCTGAATGTTCTCTATCAACGACATCATCCTCCAACTGGAAAACAAAGTATTCTGTCTTTCTATTTACTTTCAGGCTTGGAAGAGAAATGTGCATTCGCTTCTCTTCAGGATCTGGGTATTTTATTAAACACGACCTCATCTCGTTTAAAAAGAACAAAACTTCTAAATCACTGCCATTAGATAGCAGGTTTTCGCAAAATGAAATTGATTCTTGTAATCGTTCTTGCATGTTAAGATAGTCTTGCGCATAAATCTCAATGTTTTTCTTCTTTTCGCTCGACTTTCGTTTTATTTCTTCTACAACTTTTTGACGGTGTTGTTTCAACTTCGATTCCATTTCCTTACAAGTAACATCGACTAAATCTATAAGGGAAGATTCATTCGCCGACAATTCTTCGGATTTAGATGTCAAGGCTGAATGCATTTGTTGCAGTTTCTCTTTTTTTGTTCTACAAGTTTGCAAGTTTTTCTCCATTTCCTCTTTTACTATCTCTCTTGCTTCTGCAAACGATACATAATTATGGGATCTGTGTTCCACAACAGCGCACTCTCTACATATTGGAACTGAGCACTGTCGACAGTAGAAACGCATTCTTTCGTGGTGCTTTTCGCATGGTATCTCGTATTTCGTCTCTGCTTTGCATTTTCCCGCCAAATAGTCCCTGAGATGAACTACGTTATGATAAGCGTTCTGCCTGGTAAAATTGTGTCTGTGTCTTGTGCAAAAACTACATAGCAGATCCATGCATGTTACACATTTGTGAGTTGCCTCTACTTCTTTAGAATGGAGAATACAAAAGGAACAGATCCTTTTAGGATGCGATTCTTTGGAAGGGGATAATTTGTTGATCATATCTTTGAATATAAAGTTCGTTTTCAAACCCGAAACCGATTTTGATGTCAGGGATGTAGTTTCTCGGCATATTGGACATATCAAGTCGTTTTTCTCCAAAGATTTCTGGATTAATGCTTCCAAACAAGCCTCACAAAAATTATGTAGACATGACAAAACCTTTGGTTCCTTAAACAGTTCAAAGCATATCACGCATGTCAAATAATCTTCCTTAAGACTTTTTGTCATCGAATCCATATCAACTGAAAGAGAAAAGATACAACTTTTGATGCTATGAATGGATTGTGATATGGAAATGAATGCAATACGATGAATTATATTTATATTTCATGGGACTGGTGCTAAGAGAGTTTCTCGCACAATAAAGTAACAGTCATTCATTAGAATGCTTTCAAATAATAATTTTGGTTTCAATAACCCGACACTAATTCATTATAACGAAAATAGCCTAATTTACCTGCCTAGACAGAAATGTTCATTCTTCGGTATAACTTCAAAATAGTTATCAAATACATATTATGACAACTTTTAGCTTGAAATCAAGAATGTTTGTCTTTATACATCACCAGCAACAAATATAAGCATTTTTGTAGCACTAATTCTTGTGGTGGATTTTATGAGTTGATTAAAACCAAGCTTTATTAAACCTAACCTAACAAGAATCCAGCTCAAAAGTGCATTGAAACAATTTGAAACAAATTATGAGCAGAGCAAACAAGAAACTCAGAAACGTAGAGGTGGGATCAGGTGCCATGGAAGAGTAAGTATCCCCTGTCGACCGGACAGACCCACCGTGTGCTCCTTGTCATGATTGGGTAAAAGAAAAATTCCGTAGACAATTCAGTGTGAAAATAATGACCTAAGAATTTGTATGAAAAACGTCAGTCAAAATTTGACTTAACGTTAGTCTGTATTTGCTAGAAATGCCAAATGTTGACTTTAATTGAGACTGTTGATATTCTTGTATCATCAACTTACTTGTCAGTAGCTTTCTTGTATTAGAAATTGTTTGCATGTAGAACAAGCTTTTGCATATCAAATCAAATGGGAGAGATAAACCCCATATGCGGGTAATAATGGTATATAGCTACATAAAAAAAAGAAAATGACGATAGAAAAGTTGGAAGTCATCACGTTTATCATAAATTTTAGCTGTAAGTTTGCCATTAATGTCTTTTTCTAGTAAACTACTTATCCAAAAAATTAAAGAAACAGATATATGTGTCAGACTCTGTGATAACTTTTTTTTTCGAAATCAAAGATTGAATCATAGGAAGGAAAATAAATATTGTTAATTGATAAAAAAAAAAAAGATCGTTGATATATGTAATTTAATGTCGAATTAAACTTCAGGAGTACTGTGCAACAATATATTCGAGAAGTGGTGTAAATCAGTTGTGGATACTTAAAAATTCCAAGGAACTTTTAAAAAATTTGAAATTACAAGAATTTACCAAATTCACAGTCTAAAAACTTACGACTTTTCAACTTTAGGTTCATAAGAATAAGTAACTTTGATAAATAACTGTGCATGAGTTCTGAGGCCACAAAATGATCCCCCAGCTCCCATATGAGTACAATGGCAAAGTGCATATTTCTCGGGAATAAGTAAATGAGATTCTCTGAGAGTTCCATTGAATATCGGAAGAGTTAAGGTGCCCCGTTCATTGAATATAGCGGCAAAGTCCCTGTTTTGCCACAAGAAACATTAACCCCAAATGTCCAATCAAAACGTAAATTAGGAGGTGCACAATGACAGTTTATAATAAAGATTAGATCAGACAGATATTTAATGTTTCCCATAGCAATACATGGATACTGTCATTCTTTAGCAATGGGGGTACCCATTTCATACGCAATTCTTCCTATACCAGTAAAAAAAAATTAACGAGACTTTACCAGAATCTTTATTAAATACTGTCATTGTGCACCTCCTATTTTACGTTCTGATCAGGAAGATATTTGGAGTTTCCCATAGCAAAACATGGATTTTTCCAGTATACTCATAAAGGAGAGGGGGTATCTTTTTTTTTTTAGCTCAATGCTCATAGTACTTCTAGTTTATATTTGAATAGAGGATACTTCTTTTAAATTTAACATTCCTTGTCCTCTTTGAAATATTAAATTATTATCTTAAATGCCCAGAATGAAAACCGGATTGTTAACATTTGATTTGGAATATCATAGCAAGTTTATTTCCTTTAAAATATTTCATATTTCATTAATCATTGTTTATATTTTGAACCACGGGAATTTATTTGACCAGTCAGTAGCTTTGGTTGTCAGTAGACAAACATTGAGAAGTGAAGATGGCAGAAATTGAAGTCGCCTATACATTACAAGACTTATAAAAGGTAGAGATACAGTCGGTGCTTCCAATTTCGTACATGTATATAGCAATATATCTGTTGATTTTAATCTATTTATGGCTATGTTAAGGTGTTTGAATTTAACATAAGATAACCCACTTATTTTAAACTTGAAAAACAATTTAATGCCCTTATGAGACAATTATCTTTTCTTTTATTATTGTGATAAGCACTCCAAAGACACTAACATCTGATGAAAAGAAAAACAGTAAATCGATAAAAAAAAAAGTACTTGTAGACCAGACCTAGATTTTTTCCTACCTGCGAATGCTGGATTATATCCACACGTTAGCGATTTTTCCTAATGAACCATCAACGAATGACTGAACAATTAAACTGTATTTAAATAATTGCCAATTGAAAAGATGTACTTGAGAGATAAAATGTTTGTTATCTGATGCACCTGAAACTACTTGGTTACCGAGAAACACACACTCTTGATTTAAATATTTACTGGCATGATGTCAGAAATGCAATACATATTCATAATTTATAAAATCACAAAATTTATTTGATTTTTGTGGTTGGCTTTGGCCAATCACAGCCGAAATCATCCGAAGCAACCAGCAAGTGCAACCATTTGACGCGGCGGACTTTGACACGTACACCAAGGTTTCTGGGTTAAAATGAAGTATTTTAATGCATTATATTTGGCTTCTTCCTGTTAAGGTGAGAGGCTATATAATAATTATGGAGGAATAAGTCATCATTTCTTGCAGTTGAAGAGATTACCCTTCATTTTTACGGATAATTTTGTTGGATCTTTTGTTTATAGACACCGAAAGCGACCAGTGTAGCGTATATTTCTCTGCAGAGGGAAGGAGGTACGTCATGGCGTATGGGCGTCATTATTGATCACATAAGGTAAGAATAGGTTATTTTCGTAAAAAAGTGGCATGCTTATGAAGATATGTTTTTAGGTAGGTTTTATAGATAGAACTTACTTACCGAATTATAATTTGTGTATATTCTGATTTTTGGTTGGTAATGAACTGCTGGAGAGGTTTTTCTTTATTTATCATGCATGTTTCCATGCACTCTCTACCCATTCGGCAAACCTCGGCTGATTCCGTCACCTTCATCAAACCTCGGCTGTACGAAGAAACTTGATATGCGTCTCCGCTTAACATTTGTGATAAGGCTGCCTGTTTACCGCTTAGGGAAAACGTAACGCTTTGAAAACGATAATAAATATGCATCTGATATACGATAAAAATTTTCAAAAGCATTTAGGTATCACTAAGAAGAACACTAACCATGAAAAATGCACTTCGTATCTTTACATAATCACATGTTTGTTAACGGATCGAATTCAGCACACTGTGCACGTGTATATGTAGGGCGCAGCCATATTGGGTATAAAGTAGCTCCGGTTCAATGGAGATTTACATGATACAGCCGAGGTTTGATGAGGTACGAATCGGCCGAGGTGTGCCGAGTGACTCTCTACCATCGGCTCATACATTCACCTCTGTCGTTGGCTCTCGTATATCACAGTGATAAGCACGAGAAATAGTGCGTTTCTTTTAATTCATTATAATTAAATATCTAGGGTAATGATAGTCCTTAAAGATAGATATTTACTAAATAGATATAAAACTATAAGTTTAATTTGAAATAATCCTTGAAATGTTATGTTTTTAAAGTTATGTCAAAAATCTTGACGTGAGCCCATTGCAGACGTGTCTGAGAGAAGAACGAACGACAACTCTGCATAGGAGATTGGTTTCCATGATTGATGTCTTAGTGGCTACTAAAAAATATCACATTTATAAATATTCTTAGAATGAAATGGAATTAGAATTTTTTTGGATACGGCCTACTGTTTGTTTGAAATAAGAGGTTTTCTACGTTTAATTTATTAAGTTAGGTTTATCTCTGTTTCTATTGCCTTTCTTGTGCATTTAAACAAGATCAGCAAATTGGGTCAAGCTGAGGACAGGTAAACGTATTTAGAAATTAAATTATGCCTTATTTATTTGTTATATCACAACATGAATCGGTAAATTATTACGAATACAATTTGGACACGTGTTCCCAAGCAACTCGTCCGAATTAATGAAGCATCCAAATTTCTGAAATGCCCCCTTCATAATTTATAAAAACAAATATAAAATCTGTTCCTCACAAATGTTGTTCGAAGGCGAAACGTTCTATTCACTGGTTTCTTGATAACCGAAGCTCCACTGTATAAGTATAAACAGGATTATAAAATAGTAAGACAAATTACAAGTACCAATATGTTTTAACATATTTTTTAAAACTTATTATAAATTTCAAACAAAAGCTATAAATATAAATCCTGTGAGGTCAAAGGCAATATGCACTACATATTTAAATTTTTTTTCTACATTGTCAAAAATGTAAGAGGTGATTTTTTTTAAATTTATATTTTTAGGTATTTAAATGGACTCTATATCGTCAACAATAAAAGAAGAATTTTTTACCTGTCCAATCTGCTACGATATTTACAAGGATCCAAAAGTTTTACCATGCTTGCACTCATTTTGCAAAACCTGCATTAATAACTTCATATCGAAACGAAATACCAAAACGATACATCCTTGTCCAGTGTGCAGAGAAATCTTTGAACTCCAGAACCTTGACTCAGATGAATTAAAAACAAATTTTTGTTTGAAAAATCTTATAGAAGTCATTACTTCTGGCAAGCAGAATGTTTCAAAATTCTGTACCTTTTGCAGTCTAAAAGGCGAAAGCAATGAGGCGACTTCACAATGTCTAACCTGCAAAGACTATCTTTGTTCTGAATGTGCAGATCATCGACACAGATCAACTACACTTACAATAAATCATAAAGTTGTTTTGCTTACCGAAGTAATTTCTGGAAAATACAACGATGAGATTCGATCAAAGCAACAAATCCCTTGCTCTGAGCATGCCGACGAAGATTTGAGGTACTTTTGCGAAACATGTGATGTTCCTATTTGTCGAGACTGCATTGTCCTGAGTCATCAAAGCCATAAATTCATTGCACCATCGGATGCAAGAAAGGAAGCTGATATAAGCATAAGCTTGCTCATGAGTGCATTGAAAGAAAATTTAGAACGATTCCAACTTGCAAAGAAAAATGTATCACAAGCTTTGGATAAAGTGCTTGTCGAAAAGCAACGCTTCAAGCACAACTTAGAAAAGCACGTGAATGAAATTATTGAAAATATTAAGGAATCAAAATTGGCAACTGAAAATGATTTAGAAGAATTTCTGAAATCGAAGCAAGATTCTTTGCGAGTACAAGAGGAATCTATTGAGAGAATTAGTAAGCAGTTGGAGGAGTCGTACTCCTTTTGCAAGAATATTCTCAAATGTGGATCAGACATCGAGATTCTTACAATGAAAACCGAAATGAATGAACGCCTGTCAAAGTTAAAATCTTTCAAAAGTGAAGAAAGTTGTGCTGTTGATGAGATCGAGCTACCAACCCTTGAAATCGATACAGATGGAAAAATATTCCGATTACTTTTTCATAAAAGAGAAGAAAACGAAAGAAATTTAGGTATGAAGAGTTTGAATTCAGAACAGGAAGTCAGTGGTGTTAGTGATAAACAAGATAAGGTGCTCAAAAGCTGTACAAATTTCCAAACTATGATAGAGTGCAAAGAAAAGGGAGATAACTTTAATCCGTTTTATACTGGGGTCTCATGGATGGACAAAGAGAAGATTATAGTTGCCGACCAAAAAAACCAAAAGGTGAAAATAATGAATATACAAACAAAACATATTCAGTCTATCGTTTTACTTGGTTGCAAAGTAGTTTGTGGTTTTCGGGATGGAGTTGCTTGCAAAACAGAGGGAGGAAAGTTAGTGGTGATGAATAAAGATTTGAAGATAGAGAGAGAATTTCAGTGGATTTCTACACTCCTAACTTGTCATCCAATTTCGCCACAATTAAGCTGGATGTCTGATGCGGATAAAATTTGTGTGTATGAAAAGGGAGGGGTTCAAGAATTTACAATCAATGACAGAGGTAGACCAGTGAAAATAGGCAATCCAATGTTTGGTCATGTGCTACTAAATGGAATGTACATTATATCAGATTGGGCAAATGATTGCGTATTTATTGTAAGGAAGTCAGGATATATAGAAAGAAGGAAATACTGTAACCCTGGTTCTATTTCATCAGATCTTGACAACAACATATACGTTTGTGACTATCAAAATAGCCGCATTGTGATGTTCACAACTGCTGGAGTGACGTTAGGAACGTATATCTCACAAATCCCTAATCCTAGAAGTATTGCCTTAAAACATGACCGTAGGATGTTAATTTCAAATGGTCAGTCTATCATTCTCGATGAATTGAAATTAGAAAAATAATGCACTTGGGCAAAAATGTTACAATAGTCATAGAAAAAATAAGGTATTAGGCATAAATATCACAGTGAACTGCCCGATGTGATATGTTAACTATGTGAAGGGCGGATATATAATACGTCTAATAAATTTATTGGCTAAATGTTGTACGTTCGGTTCATTTAGATGTGTGTTAGTGTCATAATACTATGAAAATCTGCAACTGTAGTGAAGTTATAAAATAACGAAAATTATTATTTTGACGCTGTCTTTCAGTATTCAGTACAACGAACTTTGATTATATATGATATAAAGATTGTAAATGACCAAATTTCTTGGGAAGAGGGAATTCTGATTTAAGGAATAATTTCATATACTGCCTCTATGTTTGCATACTCTTTAGTCTAGTTTGTACATGAGAAGTCTACTCTGTCACTTAACACGAATGTCTTAGACACATGTAATGTTTTATTTTCCACCATATTACGGTACGAGTTCATGGATTAATTGATTAAAAGTTTAAAGTTATAAGAAGAGAACATGTGATATTTACATGGGTGTACAAATTATATGTGTCTGTTTCAAGTATAGCTGTTAAAGCTTTGGTATCATTTTAAGGTTGCTTTTTTCGAACACAACATAGTCTATTTCAGGAAACAGAGTTGTCATTTTTCGTACGGAAACGTTTTATACCTACAACGGGTAATGTGCTATTCTAGCATCCAACAAAAAAATAATTAGGAGGCTAAATTGTAAAAGAAAAAACAACTATATACATGTATAGGGTTAGGGTCATTTTTGGTCTCCATTCTGAAAATGTCTATATTTAATACGGAAAGTGTTACGGTAAGTGTTAAATTTTATTTAAAAACGGGGGGGGGGGGGAATATATAGTTCTTTGTGACAACAATTTCTGGCATGCTTTTATTCTGCTCAAAGGACCAGATGGCACATTTTCTAAAAGAAAAGGACGTACATGTTGTAGATACTTTTTTATTCTTCAACAATCTTATTTATAAATTGTCTTTGGAAATATTGAAACACATTTGCATGCAAAAGAATATTATTATGAATGTGACTTCGATCTTCAATGTTTACATCACAAAGAGTTGGAATACAAGATGTGGGATATGAAAAAAATATCCAAAGACTGATTCCCTTTGGATAAAGACGAGCACGTGATTTCAGTTCATTTCAAGATCTTTCAATTTGTTTATTAAGTACTACAAAGCCTCTGTCCAAAGTACAATCAATTAATATAGTATTTATAACTAAGAAATAGATCAGGTTCAATTACTTTTTCGATTGTTTGATTATACGAAGTAATTTTATGATATATCAATTGTCACATTTCTTCAAATGCTAAAAATGTAAAATTACCAATATCATTTAAGACTGCGTCACTTCAAAAAAATTTATCTTTCGTGTTTCAGAATATTACAGCTTTTTCTAACATCAACATTTAAATCATAATGTACAACAAAGTTCTCTTTATCATCATAAAGATTTGTTTAATATCTGACAAAAGAGTCAATGGCTGATTTTCCTAAGGATATCCTTGAATCGATCATACTCTCATTTCAATACAATGACTGGAAGTTGTCGATTGTCTCATTGCTTCTATTTCTATTAAATCTATATTCCTTTATTGTTTAAAATAGATATTCAATTGAAAATAAAATTCATGTTTCCTTCAAGAATAAGTGAACAATGAGTTGTCATACCTGCCATACCTGTATTTATGTATCATCATACTACTTGATTCAGCCAGAGACCTTTAATTATTTTTTTAAAGGGTTTGTTTATATAATAGATCATACCTCTTTAGAAACATATATAAAATTAACAAGGTTTTCTCTTCAGACATACAAAGAGACATATGGTTAATTCCCATGATGTGAGATAAAGGCCAAAATAATTTATAAATAAAATAATTTTTTTCTTCCATAAATTAATAGTTCTAAAAATGTCCGTAAATTATTTTTTTTCTTACAACCCTCGTCTAAAAATCATCATCCATTAAAAAAATTAATTTTATTCTTTAATAATTTCAAATAAAAACCTAGCATATTTGTCTTGTCTTTTACCTATGTCATACTAAAAAATGCTTAGGTCAGATTTCTAACACAATGTCAATAGGGAATATATATAACTTAAAATCAAGAAAAGTTTTGAACTGATTCCTTGCCTTTTAAGATAATATTATATTATATTCGAAAGCTTTTGAAAATCTATAAAGAAGCAATACGATATCTTTGCGTTTTCTTGTGTTTATAGTTTTTATACTTGTTTAAAAAACAAAAGAACTATCTTAAAGCAGGTTACTAGTATTGTTCAAATTCACTCCGTCATATTCTGAGCAACACACCAATCTATGATTAATCAATATTTTGATAAGAAATTGAGGATATTTAATGTTTTGTAGATGAATATGGAATTTATTTCACAAGCGGGACAGGATTTTTTTTAATATATTTTCACGAGTGCAAAGCACTAAAAGTGAAAATAACAAAAAATCCTGTCTCACGTGTGAAATAAACTCCATATTCATCTACAAAACATTGAGTTTTCTGTTTATTACATTTTCTTTTATTTTTCCTTTGACTCCGTGTTTTTGTACTTATTTAACTTAGGGTATCATAGACATTATGAAGTACAATAAGTTTATCCAGTTCAGCTACATTTCACTTTGCTCTCTTCGAGCTCTGTTGCAAGTCTGTTGGATTTTATTTCAAACCTTCATCTTTGTCAAACTTGGTTCGGTCTTAAACGTTATTAAAAACAAGATGTGTTTGTGAAACACTGAAGCCCCCGTATGGCAGCTTATGGCGAAGGTCAACGTTTCTCAAATGCAAGTCAAACTCCAGGTCAAAAGATTAAAAATGTTGGTACCAAAAGAAAGATCTTGTCTCGAGGAATAAAAAAGTTATGGCAAAAGTTTTTTCAAAAGTATGTAAAACATCAAGGTCAAATGGTGCCCAAGGGAAGAACAAGTGATACACATGTACGTGAAATAAGAAAGCCCTAAAACCAAATGTTCAAATGTTATAGCCAAGGTTAAGGTTTTTTAAATTAGGTTAATTTTTCCAAGGTCAAGGCCAATGGGCCATAATTATTGGTATCCAAAGGAAAGTCTTGTCACAAGGAATATACATGTGAAAAATGAAAGCCCTAGCATCAACTATTCAAAAGTTATGGCCAATTAAAAGTTTTTCAAAAGTAGGTCAAACTCCAAGGCCAAGGGTCAAGGTTGTTTGTATCCATAAAAAGGTCTTGTCATAAGGAATACACATGAGAAGTATGAAAGCCCTAGCATCAACTGTTCAAAAGTTATGGACAAGTTAACATTTTCCTAACAGTAGGTCAAGGTCAAACGGTCAAGGTTGTTGGTATCCGAAAGAAGATCGTTGTGAAATATGAAAGCCATAGCTCCAACCAATCATGTGAAATATGAAAGCCATAGCTCCAACCAATCAAAAGTCGTGGGCAAGGTTAAAGCTTTTGCAGACAACAGACAGACAGATGGACAGGGCAAAAACTATTTGCCCCCAGTTCTTCGATTACGGGGGCATAAAAATCTTCTACCCAGTGTTTGGATTATTAGTATTAGTTTTGATGACATCTTTATTCTTTGCCACATGTTCTCATTGTCCAATGCACTTCAGCACTATTCGTTCAGAGATTGGTTATTATATAGACTCCATGTCAGAATATTTAATCTTTGTGGATGACATTTATAAGTATTCACATCTTCTTCGGCATTTATTCCCTATATGTATTAAATGCACGGCTATTTCTTGATTTAGATTCTTCGCAGTCTTTTTACCACTAGTTACACTGGTTTTGTCCCAATTTTTGTACCCATTTAAATAACTGATGCACAGTAGTAATATTTCTGTCGTTATTTGCACAGCGCTATACACATTTCTTTTTCTTTTATATGAGGAATCTTTTAGCATTTTTTTAAATAGTCAGTCTCAATGCAGCGTATGCTTTTCTCTTCCTTTTGACCGGTAAGACGGGGTAAGGCAATGTGTTTCTTGAACAGGTTATTCTATATTTCGAACTCAATTTCAAAACTATATGAAAATGTTGAATTCCAGTCAAAAACGAGGACAGTCTGGAATTCAAAGTAATTTGACAGCAAAATCATGAGCCAGGGTGTTACTTAGAGAGATTATTTAGAAAGTCGTTTGATTAAAGAAATGCAGGACGGGCTGGGAAATAAACAATCTAATTAAAATTAGACCTTTCATCTCGCTCTTCGTAAATTGATTTGTCGCTCGCGTCAAAATAAAGGAGCTAGTGGAAGGTTTGAGTTTAATCAGACTAGAAAATAAATCGGTGTTAAGGACATACACAACGTACCTTACCTACTGATAATTTTTCAAGATATTCTTAATTTAAGATTATAGTGCCATCAGATGTTCGTAGACAAAAAATCAGCATGCATTACCAGGGGTTTTGAAAAGATATCAAATGATGAAAATTTTTGTATAATTCAAAGAAAAATTTACAAAAATTACTAAACATATATGCTAGATGTTTTGTTTATCCAGACTTGTTCTAGAAGAAGTGCGCAACAGCATATATAGACAATAAAATGTAGCACACAGTTCCTTTAAGTATTGGAACTCTTCAACTCCAGGGAAAAAGGCTATAAAGTTCAAACTACGTTGCGTGTGTCCTTAAGACAGTAATTTTATTTACATTTCAGAAACTGACCAAATACACCAACGACCTCAGTCAGGAGAGCCTAAATTATCCCCGAGTTAACGTCATTAGATAAAACTTACTTTTCAACATTGAGAGTTCTTCATACTGTAAACGTACCTAAATAAGCGCAAATTTAGCGCAGTCCTCCTTTTCAACCGATATATTGGTTAGCAATTGACATAACGTATTAAAACAAGAATCACTTAGAATCACTTCTATAAATATTTCCGTTGTCTTTGTAAATTCATCTTTTAAGTGAAATAAGAACTACATTCTCCTTGTTGGAAACCAGAATTTCTTCCTCACCCAGCACTGATATACTCCTTGGTTTCTGTATTATGCAGTTTAAAGAAATTGTCTTCAGCCACTCTCCAATTGAATCGAAGATGAAGATGCAGTCAGTCTCATAATTAGTCAGGTAAACACGATTTTCCTTGTCACAAGAAAGGGCACCATATCTTCCAGTAATAACATGTTGTTTTTGAGCCCTTTTGTCGAAAAAATATAGACATTTAGAATCCTTATCTGAGATAGCAAAAGACTTATTGCAAAGACAGCACGCATAAAGAGGCATTTCTAATTTAAATTGCCTCCCGTTTTCGTCTGAAAAATACATCTCCTGAAGACTTGTGTTCTTGAATACAACAATCTTTACTTTTGTGATCCATACCAACTCAGAAGAGCGTGACGATACAGCAAAGGCCCCGTTAAAAACTCTCTCTAACTTCAGATCCGGAAAGGAGTAAATTTTTACCTCACCAGATTGAGTTTTACAAGCAAGAAAATTACCAAATTTTGTTATGGCTTTTATACCTTTAACCAAATGTTTTTGAATGTTTTGGGTATCTCTTTTGGATGAAACAATGAGAACTATTTGGTTTAATTCGTCTACAAGAGCAAAAGTTGCTCTGTCAATCCATGTAATGCAAGTGTAACTTGGATTTTTATCACCATGCCTGTCTAAATGCTCGTAAGTTTTCAAACACTTAGGAACTTGATAATTCATTGACTGACCAGATGCCTTCACCTTCTGAACCTTATTACCTGTTTTTTCAGAACACGCCTTTTCCAATTTAGTATTTACTGAATTGTTGCTTGATTCCGTGTTAATTTTTTGTGTTGTATTTCTTGCGCTCTTTGAACATGCTCCATCTGACGTTGTGTCCTTTGACTTTTCTGTCCTTGTTTCTTCTGAATTTTTGTCTCCGTTCTCTTGACTTAATTCGGGTTTATTACAGGTTTTTTCTACATACTCTTCATCTGATTCATTGACTTTGTTGCTTAATTCGGTTGAATTTTCCGTATCTTCCGCTGAGGAAGCTGGGGAATCTTCATCAAAAACAGCATCTTTTAAGTGAAAAACATTGAATTCTTGCATCATATTGACTTTCAGAGTTGGAAGAGCAATTTGCAATTGATTTTCTTTTGGATCTGGACATTTTAGTAAACATGATTTCATTTCCTCCAAAAAGAAAACAACTTCTAAATCACTCCCTTTAGATAACATGTTTTCGCAAAATGAGATGGATTCTTTTATTCGGTCTTGAAAGTTCAAATTCTCTTGAATATGAAAATCAACATTTTTCTTTTCTTCGCTTGACTTTCTCTTAATTTCCTGTTCAATTCTTTGGCGATGAAGGTTCAACTTAGATTCAATTTCTTTACAAGTGAAATCGACCATGTCCAACAGCGAAGATTCTTTAGCCGATACTTCCTCTGATTTAGAAATCAGTGATGATTGTATAGTTTGCAGTTTCTCTTTCTTTGTTTTACAAATCTGCAAGTTCTTTTCAACTTCCTTTTTTACGAATTCTCTTGCCTCTACAAACGTTACATATTTATGGGACCTGTGCTCTACAACAGCACATTCTCTACATATTGGAACTGAGCAATGCTGACAAAGGAAACGTAATCTTTCTTGGTGTTTCTCGCAAGGAATCTCGTACTTGGTTTCTTCTTTATACATTCCGGCCAAGTAATCTTTCAAGAGGACTACCTTATGATATGCGTTCTGCCTAGTAAATACATGCCTGTGTCTTGTGCAAAAACTGCAAAGCAAATCCATACATGTCACACATTTGTGAGTTGCCTCTACTTCTTTCGAGTGCAGAATACAAAATGAACATTTTCTGGAAGAAATCGATCCTCTGGATCGGGGTATCTTAGCGACCATTTCCTTGAATATGAAGTTTGTTTTCAAACTGGAGACAGTTTGTGATGGTAGAGGCGTAAATTCCCGGCATATTGGACAGCTTAAATGGTTTTTCTCTGAAGATTTCTGTACAAAAGTTTCCAAACAGGATTCACAGAAATTGTGTAAACATGACAAAGTTTTTGGTTCCGTAAACAGTTCGTAGCATATTGCACAAGTGAGAAAATCTTCTTTCAAGCATTTACTTAACGAATCCATTTCCACTGAAAGAAAATATTTTTTTAAAATTTAATTTAGTTATAATCAAATTCGACGTTACAACAAAATATGGAGGTTAATCAAATGAGCATGAAACATTCATACATGTACTTCATTCAACTAATACCAACAATTTTTAAATATACGGATGATTGTGTGAAAGTGTGACCTACCAGATATCCTTTGCTTTTCAATTTACACGTACTGTACATGTATAATTTTACAGTGTACATATACATTGGAAACATTTTAATAATTGTAATTATTGTATAACACCATGTGGGCTCGATATATATTAATGTTTGAATTAGTTATCAAAGAGATTTATTTTTCAACTTACAAAATAAATAATACTTTTCATTTATCAAAGTAGTGATTCAGAGAGGTTTGGATTTTTTTTTAATTTTGTATTTTGGTTTCTTCGCGAATTTCGTCGCGAAACGACCGCGAATATAAGCATCTCGCGAAAGTCTGTGTAACAGCCAAACTTGAAATGATGGAGAACCCTGATAATTAAAAAAAAATGTTTGCATTGTAGGAAAAGGGGTGTTTTACTACACTATCTCACATGCATATATTTATCAAAAGGAAGTACCCCTTTCTCGTCCTTATGGCATAAATATTCACGTGTTTAAAATGCAGTCATTTCAATATGAAATACCATATGAAGCATGAATAGAATCATAATATTTCAAAAATTACCTGCTTACAATGCCGGAAAGTGTAAAGCCTAGTATGCTAAATGCATATGCGTGGCATAATGCACAAAAATCGATAAAGAAATGGCGTTCGTTTGATTCGTATCGACTAATGTCACGTTACCAGTCAGTCACGTGGTTATTGGGAAAATATTGTATTTCGACAGGCCGCTAAAATGATTATTTTAGGTGGACCTGACAAACCCAGCCTCCGTAATATTTTCAACCTTAAAATGGCAAATTATGTCAAATGGTGATTTTTACACTATATGCCATATCCCTTCAAATGTTATTTATTTTCAAAGCTCTAATTAAACGAAAAATTATTGCTTATTGACTTAGTAATCAAAAATATACTTCAACTTTTCAGAAGTCGTGAATTTGTCTTGCACGCGTGGAACTGACCAAAGTTTTCTTTCTTTGTTTGTTTGTTTATTTTTAACGTCCCTCTCGAGAATTCTTCACTCATATGGAGACGCCACCACTTGCCGGTGGAGAGCTGCAAATTTTTGACCTATACTCGGCACTTAGGGCCACTGTGCAGTGAGGGATCTTTTTCGTGCCAACACCTACTGCGACACGGGGACTTGATTTATATACGGTCTCATCCGAAGGACCGGTCTCAACGTCCCACAGTGGGATTCGAACCCGCGACGTAAGGATCAACTACTTACTCCGCGACTCTAGAGCGAACGCTCTAACCACTGCGCCTGGCGGGCGACGACTGACCAAGGTAATTAAACATCTGTAAATTACTGCAGTGAAATTAAATAGGAGCAATTTGTAGAAATTTGGTCACGGTTCGAATCGAATGTTTGAGAAATTCTCTTCATACTCAAAGCAGAAAGAAGACGTTTCCGAGAACTAGTCTACGGCAAGTGTAGATCTAAGTGTTAACTATAATATATATAGAACGCAAAGTCATGTTTTCACAGCCCTTATCTATAGTGTCCCTAAGGACAAGGAAGGTAATTGCACAGCAACAAGTGTTTGTACAGTGGCTGCAACGTTATTGTTGACAACTTACACGAACGATTCCGCACGATTAACGCACGATAAAATCTGTTACACGAACGATCCTTCACGCACACGATTCTACACGTTACACGATCTTACACGATTGCTCACGCAAACGCACGATTCTTCACGCAAAATAATTCAAGTTCTTTAGGAATGGATATTTTCAAAACGAAATAAGGCTTAATACTTATTTTAGATTTCAAATAATTATTGATATTATTTCATCTACTTTGAAAAATGAAAAAAAATAGAAATGGATATTTCTGGAACTAAATACATGTAAAACTTATTATCTTAGATTACAAATAATTATTTACGCAATTTTCCGATTTAAGAAAACTGATTATTTTGTTCTATCGATCAGTAGATGTACATGTAGGTGGACCGTGAGTTTTGATTCAATTGGATTCCATAATATGCAGAAAGGGATAAGTCTGAAAAAAAAATGGCATGGAAATAAATTAAGTTATAAGTTATATCCTTGTTTACATTTGTGAATCTCTAAAATCAACAATTATTTTACAAATCATTTATTTGCAAAAATTATAAAAATAATTAAAAGTAAGCTCCAGAGATAAACACTGATAAACGAAACCCCGACAATCATGTCTCGTACATGTACGACTAAATATTTATGTAAGCATTGAGAATTGCTTATCTATTTATTTGTAAAAATATCTATTTTTGATCTATTGATTTTAAAAATATCTTGACCATAATTAGTAGTAAACACAATCAACATCAGAGAAAAAATCCTTAAACATCTAAGTACGGTTTATCGCAAAAAAGTACGCTATTTGACGAGAACACAATATTGTACGACTTACTATATTGTTTATTTCCTAGCGATAATTAGTTCGTTCTGCTTTCAATTATGTAAATCGCGCTTCATTTATTTTTATTTGGATTAAAAAAAAAAAAAAGACAAGCGAAATGCCTGTATAATAAATAACATTCCGATAAAAACTTACAAAACGAAATTTACACGTTTCTTAACGCACGATCACGCACGATTAAAACCGCAAACGATTGAGTCTGATACACGCACGATCTCGCACGTTACACGAACGATCACGCACGTTACACGAACGATTCTACACGATTGGTTTGTCAACAATAACGTTGCAGCCACTGTAGCATAAATAAGATCAATATTATGTAATATTTGAATCTGACTGATAACAATTTTCTAATTTTGTAGGTTAAGATACCAATTTAACTCATGTATGGTTTTCAATGGATAACAGGCCCATAGGAAGCAATTTCAGTTTGGGGGCACAGCCAAACATTTTTCAGTTGACAGTTGAGGGGGCACTACCAAAAATTTTCTGACAAGCAAAAAAAAAAGGTCGTCAACAACCAAATATTCCTTGACAAGCAAAAAAAAAGGTCATCAGGCACAAGCTTATAGTATCTATGTTTACTATAGTAATCTATATCTGGGCAAAATTATTGGGGGGGGGGGGGGGTCCTACGGCCATGGATAAACTTACTCAAAGCACAGGTGCATTAAGGGTAGGTAAACTCCGCTTGATGTTACTTATGATCCAGTAGTCTGTGGTCTGTGCACGGACGCTCGGGATTTTTTTTTTATAGTTCTTAGTTTTTTTCGAACAATTTTAACAAAATGAGCTGATTTACTAGTGTATAATTTTGGCAAATTTTAAGTAGGTTTAAAGCACATGGATGCCCTTAATGTGTCAAGCAAAAGTATGAATTGTGCCTTTCTCTGTTACGTTTTCAGAGGTACATCCTTTTCCAAATCCTTTTTCAAATGTTATACGAAATAGATTACACAAAGTACAAGTACTTTATTGTACACTGAAGCGCCAAAACAATGTTGCTTTAGTAGACTTACTGATGAAAGAAATAGTCGCAGATATTACATCAATTAAACTTGTGTACTTGTTGTTAACGCCATAAACATGATCCTATCCACACGACCTGTTTATCTTACATTACAAATAATTTGTCAGATAAAGTATAATTATTTGATACACTTGTATTATTATATTGTATGTAATAAATCATCTGTTGGTGTGTTTCTCATTTTAAAAAAAGTTTATGTGTTTATTATTGTTTTTGTTGATGGGTTTTTTTGTTGTTTTTTTTTTTTTTTGGTCTTGTTTCTTGTGATAGATAATTTTTGAGATGTACGGAATTGTTTGTTTTTTTCAGTTTATTAACTGGAACTATCTTATTGGTTATCACTAGGGAGACACGCTATGGCAAAAGGAATATAAGATAAGATAGTAGCCATGGTCTTTGTTTTCAAAGTCTGAAAATAAACTAGTCACTGACTATAATTTCTAAAAATGTCTTTCATTTTATTTTCTCCACAGCATACAACAGTTAACACGGGGAAGGGAAAAAGTTTCTCTCATTTGAACAAGGAAAGTATATCAACTGAAAAAGGACAGAGATCTTTAAAATATTAAAAATGATCAGTTGATTTATCTAGAGAACACCTACTAGTTTATTTTTCTCTTGTATAAATATATCTAGTAAAAAAATGTGATGGAAGTTTGACAATGTGAACTTCAATTTTGTTCAAATGAAGGACACAACCTGTTCTAATGGGAGATAATTAAGAAATAGTGGAAATTCGGTGGGGGTAATTTAAAAATCTTCTCAAGAACCACTGCGTCAAAAGAAATGAAACTTAAGTGAAGGCTTTCTGATATAGTGTAGATTTAAATTTCTTTAAATCATGACCCCTAAGTGTAGGGTAAAGACACTATGAGCTATCAAATTTTAACATGGTAATACAAAAGAAAAATCTTCTCAAGAATAGCAAAGCTATGAGCCAACCATAACCCCCGGGGTAGGGTTGAGCACTATATATGGTTGATCAAAGTTTTACATGGGGATACATAGGACAAATCTTAAAAATCTTATAAAGAATAGCAAAACCATGATTAGTCATACCTATATGGAAGCATCTTCAGGTAGTGTAGATTCAAGTTTGTTCAAATTATGATCCCTGGGGTAGGGTCGGGCCACAATGAGCGATCAGGGTTTTTCATAGTAATATATAGGAAAATTTTTTAAAATCTTTTTCTCAAGAGCAGAAAAGCTATGTTTAATCATATTTATATGGGAACATCCTCAGGTACTGTAGATTCAATTTAGTTGAAATCATGACTCCCTTGGGTATGGTGGGGCCACAATGAGCGATAGAAGTTAAAATAGGAATATAAGAGAAAAGTCTTTTTCTCTATAACAGTAAGACTGTGTTATACTTTGTATTTATATGGAAGTATCCTCAGGTAGTGTAAATTCAAATTTGTTCAAATATTGACCCCTAGATGATGAGTGGGACCCTAATAGGCGATCAAAGTTTCACATAAATAATGAAACATAAGTTACATTTGATAAAATAAAATGAAACTGCTCATATCAACAAGATGATGTTTTGATCTTTAATTTCTTTAAAATATGACGAAGAGCGATATTTTGTTCATATCTGTTTAAATGACTCTTATTTTTACATGGAAATATGTAGGAAAAAAAACAGAAGGATCAAAATATTGTAGGTGAGTTTTGTGGTCCATGGGCATCCTGTTTTAATTATTTCATTTTAAAATCTTTACGTGTTAAAAATATTTTTAATACCAGCTCTATTTACCCAAATACCACAAACAATGAAAATGTAGTACATATAAGGTACTGATATTAATTCTTTTGAATTCTTGAATACAATTTTGTCCCTCATTCATGAATTTGATTAAAAAAAGAATTGTCTCTTTAAATATTTTATTTTCATTCATGTAATTCACAACTCCTTATTCAGTCTGAGAGATCCTTAAATTTAACCGCTTGCGAAGGACTACTTTCTAAGCTTTGCAGGTTCTTATGACTTATTCGTATTATAAAACATTTAATAAATGAAAAAGAATTTCATCGGTCCATTAGTTTTTTAGAGTACATGCTACATAGTACAAAACAACACGTGCGTAAGACTCATTTTTACTTCAGAAGCTAAAGTAATTTACTCTTGCCTGTAGGAGAGGTTACTTTTTCAGTTTCATGAGTTTGTAACCAAAAAGTTTTCGTGGCTCCTACTGCATGTATTATCATGTATTATCATCACTATCATCTCCTAATCTGTCCGTCGATGTTAGTTAGATCAAGTTCGTTGTTTGTTCTGCTCTCAGTCTGTCATTAGTGGTGTGTAACCGAAACTTGTAGGTATGATTTTTTTAGGAGTCGCTTAGTTATGTTTCAGTGATTTTGTAAAGGAGGGTACATGTATTTGGGTCTATTACCGGATTATCAAATGTGATATAATATCCATGCATGCAAACAAGTCCACAAATACTTTTTCCTGCTGTATTATTTGAATGCTCCATTTGACCCAAAATTCACACTTCAGTTTCTCTTATAAAAACCCAATGTGATGTCTTTACCAAGCTTTCTTTATTTACATATAGGAACAAAATATTCCTCAATTTGTGTATTTATGACAATGTTGGTCAGTGTTTTAAGTGTGTCGATAAGAATATAGAATGTTGATATGTATATGAAAATTTCGCCTTCATTTAGATAAAGCTTTGTTTTAGTTTATTCCAGTTGAAACAATACGACAGATTTTCCGTTTGTGGTTAAGATTTGATTGTCCTTGTTCAAGGCAATACTTTTGGGGTTCTGTATGATTGAACCAATCGTAACCGTCAACAGAGTTTCTCCAGACCATCTGAATATCTCAATTTGACTCTTTTCATAATCACATACATAAATTATATTACTATGGTCTGAGGAAATGGAACCTGGAGAGCAATATTTTCTTCTCTCTATGTACCCAGAGCCTCTGATGATAAACACACAGTCCTGGCTCCAATCTGAAACCACAAACATTCCATTCAGTAGAGTGTGTCCAAATTTCGGGCTACTTAGTTTCCCTGCTTTGTTTTGATCAGTGATGACAACTTCTTTAATTTTGGAATTTTCTAAAAACGCATATTCTATCTAAACCGGAAATCCAACTTATATGAGATGAATTTGGATGACAAGTCAATAAAGTTGAAACTCCTGAAAATGTCTGTTTTATATCCAAGGAGTTACTAATTATATGCAATTTGTTCCCTGTTGTTTTACACGCTAGCCCACCCTTGAAAGACGTAATCACCATACAATCCTTCACAGCTATTGAATTTATATCATTGTTTTTTTAGAGAGAAATATTAACTTTTGGTTTCCTTGGTCAACAATTGCAAACGAATCTTCATTCACCCACGTTACACTTGTGTATCTTGCTCTTTGAATATCGCTATCGTGAGGTTCCCAAAACCTTTGTAGTAATTTAGGATATAAGCCATTGACTACGTCTCTAATGGGTGCATTTTTTTCAGATGGTTTTGTTTCATTTTTAGTCTTATCTCGATTTGTTCTTTCTAGTTTTTTGTCTTCCTTATTCAAACTTCTCTTACTTCCCCCTGCCATTTGGTATACCAAGTTAAAAATACATCCATCAGTACTGGTTTCAATGACAGGTAAGTCAATGTCTTCAATTTTGCAAATTTCAGTTCTTTTCAAAGATTGTAACGTTGAGAGGCGATCTTTTATTTCTGATTTCATAGTAAGAATTTCAATATCACTACCACATCTGAGAAGGTTGTGGCAAAACGAATATGTCTCCTCTATTAATTTCCTTTCCTTTTCAATTGATTCCCCTTGTTTTTGCAACATGCCTTGCTTTGATTTCATGACCTGATCGAATTCGTTTTCGACTGACTTTTTTGAGTCCCTCATATTTTCGATAATGATATTCATTTTCTTTTCTAAATCTGCCTTCAACTCTTGCTTTTCGACCTCCAATTTAGCTGAAGCAGATGCTACATTTTCTTTTGCAGTTTTAAATTTTTCTAAATTTTCTCTCAGCGAGTTCATATGTGTATTCAGATTTTCTTCCATTCTTTTCCTTGCATCTAATGGAGCAACATATATATGGTTTTGATGGCCAAGAACGATACAATCTCGACAAATTGGAACATCACATGTTTCGCAGAAGTACCTCAAGTCCTCGCCAGTATGTTCAGAACACGGAATCTGTTGTTTGGAACGAATTTTATGGTTTAATGTTAGTGTTGTAGATCTATGTCGATGCTCCGCACATTCAAAGCAAAGTAAATCTTTACATGTAAAACACTGTGAGGATGCTTCAATGTTTTTGCCTTTTAAACCACAAAACGAACACTGTTTCTTGACTTCTTTGCTAGAGCTAACAAGTTCAATAAGCTTTTTCAAACAGAAATTTGTTTTCAAATATTTTGCATCATTATTAGTAATTTTGAATGTTTCCCTGCACACTGGGCAAGAAAATTCCTTTTTATTCGGTGTTTTCTTTGTGAGGGTATCGATGCAACCTTTACAAAATGAATGAAGGCATGGAAGTGTTTTCGGGCCAGTGTAGACTTCAAAGCAGATAGAACAAGTCAGGAATTCCTCAGCTATTGTAGACATCGACATGGAAGCCATTATCGTTTATTCTGAAATCAAACATAAAAAAATATCAGTTTATAAACTCCATGCTATTTGTTTTATTCAATTTCTAACAAAAAGCATCGGAAGAGCATGTGTATAATTCTGCAGCTAAAAATTGGATTTAATTTTACCGTTCACGGTAGCTCAGTCGGTAAAGCGCTCGCTCCGTGATCGGGAGGTCGTGAGTTCGAATCTCGGCCGCGACTGACCTAAGTCGATAAAAATGGGTAGCAACTGTTCCTTCGCCATGCGCTCGGCACTTTGAAGTGAAAGTTGCGGGTCCTTCGGATGAGACCTTAAAAACCGAGGCCCCGTGTCACGGCAGGCGATGGCACGATAAAGATCCCTCACTGCCCAATGGCCCTGAGTGCCGAGTAAAGGTCAAAATTTAAAGCCCTTCACCGGTATCTGGTGACGTCTCTATATGAGTGAAAAATTCTCGAATGGGACGTAAAACAAAAATACAATCAATCAATCATGGACTTAATTTTAGTCTTGAAATGACCCCGATTTTCAATTTAATTAATCAAAATACGATAAGAGTGTAGCAACTTATTATATATTTTAATATTTACAAATAATGAATTAAGGTGATTAATGAGCCTAACTTTGTATTTGTTGATTTTGTATTACTAAATGAATCCTGTTTGAAGTCGGAATACAGTAAAATGATACAATCACGGTCTTCATCTCTGTGTGAAACTGAATAGATCTTAATTATTTTGAAATATTGTAACATCAGAATTTTAATGTTGAATATACTCAGAACATTAAAGTAGAATTCACATGATTTAAATCAGTGATGTACATAGTTTGCCATCAGAATGAAATAGCTTTTTTGATATTTCATCAGTAAAGGATGATGAAACAAGTCGACAATGCAGAATCTTGTCATCAGAAACACAATAGGAGGAGACTAACATTTTGCTCATACTTAAAAAAAAAGATAATTATTTTGGATGCCTCTGCTTTTAATAATTTTGCCAGTATATACTTTTAAAATTGAAACAAAACAAAGTTAATTCACTATTATGCCCCTAAATAAAAGTGTGTGTGTGTGTGAACGCGCGTGTATGTGTGTTTGTGTGTGTTTTATGTTTGTTTAGGTTTTTTCTTTTGCTTCTTATTCCTGTTCGGTTGTTGAATTGGATGGGAGCACATTTCATTCGTAAAAAGGTTTTAAATAATAAAAGTGCCGATGTCTAGCAGTGATTCTGAAATCAAGATTAATGTATGCAGAATTGGTAGAGGGAACTTTCACTAAAACTTAATCCGAATAAACCAAATCCATTTCTGTTTCTCTGCTTCAATTTTGGTTGATATTTGATAAAATCGACGCAACTGTCTTTTCCTTCTCTGAAATGCATTATGGGTATTCGATGCTGAGGTTTCATTTGGCACTGAATAATTCACATTTCAAAATAGGAAATTCCATTTCTTTTTTACCAATCTATCGGTAATTATGCAAGGAGTTCTGATACGTGTGTTTGTAATAAACAAAACCATATACATTCAATATACATGTATATGTGACTGTTATTGTGTGATTTTGTAATTTACCCTTAAAAAATACTATATTCAACTATAGTTGAGTAAACTATGGTTAACTATAGTATTTTTAGGGTAAGTATTGAGATTTTCACCAAAATAAATCAAAGAATCAAAATTTTTTCTCTTGGTTTTAATTATGAATTTCAAATTGTTAAACTTCATATTATTCTATTCTTATTTGCAATGTTTTTTTAATATCATAAGGAAATATTACTTGAATATTCAAATATTTACATCATTAATATGCTATTTCAGAATTATTGAGACTCTAAATCTCAGAAAAGTCTTTGAGTAAGGTTTCCATGTAAATTAACGTATCATTGTAAAGTTTAAAAGTACCTGTATCATAGTAAATCAAGGTTTCAAAGAAATGAATGAAAATATATACTAAGTAATTTATATAGTTAAAACTTAAGTACTTTTTGTTAGGGTACATACGCATCGTCGACCACTGTACATACTGTATTTAGTTCTTGAAAAGTTTTGCTCATTTTCACAAAGAAGATCCTTATAAGAAATTGTGATCCAATTCTTAATACAGTTGAACTTCGGTATCTCGAACACTGATATCTCGAATATCATGGATATGTCGAAGTGATTTTGAAGTCCCAAGCACTTATTTCTTAAGTATTTTACCCTGGATATCTCGAATCCTCGGATATCTCGACGTATTTTCTTGGTCCCTTGAAGTTCGAGATAACGAGGTTTGTACTAGTAGTCAATACATATAATATTATATACCACAGTTATCTGTCCTTATAAACTTTTTAAACCTCTAATAGGGGTAATACGCTGCCATTAAAAAAAGTGCACTGCTACAATATGGCGACAGCCACTTCATAAATAATTTTTCTAACAACCCTCGTACATGTAAATCCTAAACATTTATATACAGAATTCAAAATGAAACTCTGTGGATAAAAGTCATATAAAGTGCAAGAAAACACCTCAAATTGATCTTTGATTATTAAAACAAAGAAGCAATGCCTTGAATTCCAGTTTATCCTACCTGTGTGTATATCCACTTTCGCCACTCTAGATTCATTCATGTGTAATGAAGCATCAAAGAAGGTATGTTTACTTCCCTATTTTAATGAACGTTAAGAGGAAAATTACCACGTAGGACACACGACAGACAGATAAATTGATGCTTTATCAAGAAAGTGTAACTTGGATATTGATCAGCACGTTAACCAGTTATCTCGTCAAAACACAACATATATACTGAAAGGAAAAAGAAACGCTGTGTAAAATAATACTGGTATTCGATAATTATTTTAATACTTGACCAAAAATTATGAAAATTTGTATTGAAGGTATTTTGGCTTTGCACCTAAATTGGTGTTCAGAATTACTCAACCATGAAAGGTGTGACGTCACATAGGGAAAATGGTAAAAAAAAAAAAAAAAAAAAAAAAAAAAAAAAAAAAAAAAACGTGCAAATTGACGAAAACAGGTTTGTCAACAATTTTTGATGATTTTAGATGATAATGCACTGCATATGCAAGCGAGGATTTAAAAGTCATATAGAACAAATTATATTAATTTTCATGCTGATCAGCAATAAAAAAGAAAATAACGGCAATTATTTTACACTGTGCCGACTGTCGACTTTTTAAGAAATAACCCGTTTCTATCAATAGACATACCTTTTCAATTCAAGAATATTATAAGCTCTATTTACTTCGAATGTAATTTTCGAGCTGCAAATATATCACAACAATAATCTTAAATACCCATTATTTTAATTCGACACAGTTTATGTTTTAAGTTTAGTGTGAATTATATGTGTGTAAATCACACAGACTTGTCACAAAGGCATATTTCATAAAGCGCGTTAGCTCTTTATGAAAAATATACCTATGTGCAAGTCTGTGTGATTTACACTCCAATAATTAACACTAAACTTAAAAACATTCCTTATATTAACATTTTAAATGTTTAAAAGCACTAAAAATTACTCAATGTTCGCATTTCTAGCTGCCCTATATCTTTTTATTTTTATTAATGTCTCTGTAGCCTCAATGTAACGTCCTTTAGCGAGAGTTTCACCGTGTGTATTTCTGCGCGTGAGTATACACGAAAATGGCATTCAAATCAATTTCATAATTGGTTAAGTAGAAAAAACACAGCAAATGTAAATATAAAGGTTTACAATTAGGAAATCAGAAAAAAATAAATTAGATAAGAATCTGCAAAATTCAATAGAATAGTTTAGATACTGCCTTTTTCCGTAATATGATCAAAGTGTAACGTGTATATTATGACTGAAAATTATGTTCATTATAAAGGGAAACTGTAAAATGCGAAACGAAACGAAATCTACCGAAACGAAACCTACTGAAACGAAACGAAACCTACTGAAACGAAACAAAACGAAACGAAATCAAAACGAAGCCTACCAAAACGGAACAAAAACTACAGAAACAAAAAATGAAATAAAATCGAGCAAAATCGGTAGGTTTCGTTTCGTTTCGGTAGGTTTCGTTTCCCTATATTTCGTTTCGTTTCATTTCTATTTGTTTCGCATTTTACAGTTACCATAAAACATAAAGAAAGATAAACAAAGGGAAAAAAATGACATGAGAGGAAATCGTAAAATGTAAAGGCCAACGGTTAAGGTCATAGGCCACGTACATGTACACATACCTAACAACGTACCTTACTCACTTATAATTTTTAAAGATACTCTTGAATTAAAAGCACAGTTCTATTAGATGTTCCTAAACAAAAAATCAGTATGCATTACCAGGAGATTACCAGGAGATTTGAACAGATATCAAATTTTGAAAACCTTCGTTTTAGCCGAAGAAAAATTAACAATAATATAATTTTAGTCGGTATTTCCTCAAAATTTGATTTATAATATGTTTTTTGCATCATCGGCGTTATAAAGGTCACATAAGGGCTCTTCAAGTATTTGAACTCTTTTATTCAGGAAATAAGTAAATCAAGTTCAAAACTACGCCTTAAACCATTGTGGCATGAAAACATAAAAGTTTAATGGGTAAATTTAAGACAGGTTGTTAAATATTCAGGAGGAAAGAAAATTGATATTTTTTCATTCTTTCAATATGAACACCATCTTTAATCAAAATAGGTTAAATGTAATGAAGCGCAGTCATACTCAAATAAAATGAACTTAAATTTTCAGGTTACTGGTGGTCTTTGGCAACAGTTTATCATTGTTTAGGTAGATACCTCAATATTTAATATTTACTTTATACAAAACTCGGTGATTTTCATGTTTATCATGCAAGGAAACTATTGACATTTAATTATCATTATAGTGTAATTTGAACTAACACATGTATAAAGTATGATTGTATAAGAAGATATTGGTAAAAATCAGAGTTTAGAAATTACTAATACAGTAGGCGAAAATGCCTATGAAATGAGCTAATTTTCTTTACTTCTTATTAATTGATTTTATAAAGCAAATTTATCGTATCAAACTGCATCCGATACACAGTAGTTCTGTTATGCTATTTAATACTCTTAAATTAATTTTGTTTGGATAAGTTATATTTTAATTGGGATTGGTTCAGATTTGAAAATTAGCTATTTTTCTTTCATTTTGTATTTTAAAAAAAACTTTCTTCCTTATGCTCAAAGAATAGAGCAAACGAGTCCGAGCGCCTTTCTTCATCTTAAACAAAGAGATAACGATAATTGTTTGAATGCAAACGTTTACACATTACATTATAACGGTAGATCAAGATAATATTAATAAAATATTCTTCATAAATATTTTCAAAAAAAAATTATGGTAAAAGACAATCAAAAGTGTTTTACACACCACTTCAAAGCTAGTTTATAATTTTGGCTGTATTCTGGCAATTGTTTTTTTTATAAAGTGTGGTGATAAAAACACATATAAATACCATATGCAGCAATGCTTTTGACGCATCAGGCGTACCATACTGTGTCAAGCAAAGATATTGTCTTTTAAAAGGTACGTCCTTTTTCAGAGGTAAACTACTTTACACCCATGCAAAAGTTACATTCTAAACTGAAGTGCAAAAACAATTTTGATAAAGGGAATTAATGGTCAACGAAATGGAATCAAGCACTTATTTAATTCACTGACCCGCATGCCTTATCAGGTAAAAGAAATTGTTAACGCTTGTATTTGTGTTTCATGGTGGGCTTATAGGTAGTTATATATTATTATTTTTTGACTTTTTAGGATTTGTTTGGGATGCAAGTGTTTGTTATATAGATTATTTGTTTTTAAAGGATATTGCAGTTGGACCTTGGAGACCGACAATTTCAATAGCATATTCACCAGCTCTAAATTAATGCTATGCATGTAGTACGTGTTTGGCTTATGCGCATAAGTCGTAAAACAAAATTTTTGATTTAAACTGTTTGTCTATTCAAAATCATTTACTGAAACTATCTTCTTGGTTACCACTACGGAGGCTCGTTATGGCCAAGCGACTATTGGGTTTGATATTATAACCATGGTCTTTGTTTTCAGACTCTGATTGTCTTTCCATTTATTCATGAAATGATTTTGAAAGTTTAAATGACAATAATATTTTTATTCATATTCCTACGTCTGCTGCCTCCTCAGTCTTTTACAAAAATATATAGATCATCATCGATTGACATTTTTTTCGTGATTTTCTTGAAAAAGAATGCTGATTCAAATTGTGCTATGTACAGTGTAAGTTTTTTGCTTGTGAAACAAGCGATAAAAATGGCGATCATTTACTTTTGCTCGATCAGCAACGACACTGGAGACTAGTCGTCATGCGAAGTAAAAAACGTAATTAAACTGTAAGATTATGAAAAAAAGAACAAACATTATTTAAATGGATATAGCAGAACAGTAGAGCTAATTAAATCACTTATCGCACAGCTTATATAGTAACCGAAGATTTTTTTTTTTTAATTAAAGATCGCTTGCAACAAAGGGGGCAATATTAGCTATCAGTTTTGCTGAGTCTGCTAACTGAAGATCGAGTAAATTATCAGTCGAATATTTTGGATATGGGGTAACCAATATCTACATTCTTGTTTAAACTATCAATTAATGACATACAACAAAAGAGAAAGTCGCTTTGGATTCAGGGATAATCGCAGTTTCTCGGCATTGTTATCAATCGGCTATATTCGTCATGAATATTTTACATCATTTTCAGGATTTTTTAAGAAGCAAACTTAAAGCAAACTTAAACAATCAAGAAAGTGAAACAAAATCTGATGCCCTTTGCTTGTTTTTCTCCTTTCTATAAGCAAAGTAGATTCTCTGACAAATGGCCGAGAAGATAAATTATTATGAAGAATAAGAATAAATCTGGTAAATGACAGTATTAAGGTTCGTTACCAGCTATCACAAGCGACATTGTAACCAAACGTGCACATGTGCAACTCTGCAATTAGTTTGTCTGATGCTGCATCTGGCCCACAATGCACACTTACGTTTCTGAGGTAAAGAACACTGTATGGTGCCTTTTCTCAGCTTTTCTATATACATATTCAACCAAAATTGTTCCTTCGATATATCTATGAAAGAGTTGGGCAATGTTTTGAGTGCCCTTTAGAGTTTATGTACCTCCATCTAGTGGTATTTCCTTAACTTGATCAACTTTCTTTTTTATGTAGATATGGATCTTATAGCAAAATATCTCAAAGAGGATTATTTGACTTGCCCAATATGCTATGAGCTGTTCAAGGAACCAAAAGCTTTATCATGTCTTCACAATTTTTGTGAAGCTTGTTTGGAAACTTTATTAGATAATTCTTCAGAGAATAAAGAATTGAACTGTCCAATTTGTCGAGAAAATACGCCTTTGACGGAGCAAAAGGTCTCAGGTTTAAAAACAAATTTCATATTCAAGGATATCATCCAAAAACTATCCGGCTGCACAGAATCGTCTTCCAGAAGATTGTGTTCCTTTTGTGTTCTCAGTTGTAAGGAGGTAGAAGCTACTCACAAATGTTTAACATGTATGGACTTGCTCTGTGAGTTTTGTGCAAACAACAGGCACACATTTACAAGACAAACGGCATAAAGTCGTTCCTCTCAATGACTATTTTGCAGGAAAGTACAAAGACCATAGGAATACAGATACACCTTGTGAAGAGCACCGAGAAAAACTGCGATTCTATTGTCAGCAGTGTTCAATTCCTATCTGTGGAGAGTGTGCGCTTGGAAAACATAGATTTCATGAGTACGTTTCATTGTCCGAGGCTAAAGATATTGTCTTAAAAGATATCGACGAAGTTCTGCAGAGTTCTAAATCGAAAATAGAAACGACGAAAGAGATTCAAACGAAATTGATTTCCAAATGTGAAAAACTAAATGTTCACGAATCTTCTTTGAGGAAAATGATTAGCCAAGCTTATGAAGAAACAGTGCGCAAGTTAGACTTAAATCGAAAGAAGAAATCAGAACATACATAGACCAAGAAAGGGAAAACATTGAAAGTCTCTTGCAAGAGAGCTTAAGCTGCGAAGAAGGCCTTACACAAGCAATTTCATTTTGTGAAAATACGATTTCAAATGGAAGTGACTTAGAGGTTGTCCTCTTTCGAGAGGAAATGAAATCACATTTACAGAAGTATCAAAACCTCCAGGAAAAGGGTTCCCTACAAAGTGTATCTCATCAGAGTTTGGAAATCAAAGTTCAGGAAGAAATTAATGTCTTCGAGTTGGAAAGAACTTTTGTCGACAAAGAAACACCAGACAAAGAATATGACTTATCCATTGATAGCACCAGACTGGCGAGCAACACAGAGTACAGGGATGAAGAGGATAAGGGGGAGGAAAAAGATACTGAAAGGAATAAAACTGAAACATCTGACTTTTCAATACCAGTTCAAATGCCTAAATTTTTGAAAACGTACGATCTATCTGAATTAAAAAACAATAAGGCCAAGATTTACACTTGTGTTGTATGGATTGACGAAAATTCATTTGCACTTGCAGATGAAAACAACCATGAAGTGGTCATTGTTAAAACTGAAGGAGAAAAAGTAGAATTTAAACGTTACAAAGTAAAAGATCTAGTCACTGTGGCAAAGTTCGATAGGTATCTGGCTTGTAAAACTCAGTACGGGGATGTTATTATTTACTCATACCCTGATATGAAGTTTGAAAGAAAGTTTAACAGAGCCTATGCTGTCGCGTCTTCGTCATCGGAGTTACTATGGGTGACAAAAGAAAAGATTATGATATTTAAGACTGATTCTCTTATAGAAAAGAAAGTATTGGATGAGGAAGGGAAACCATTCAGCTTTCTGAGACCATTCCACTCGTGTTATCTGCCCAATAAGTCATTAGCCGTCATAGATAGAGGTGATGAATGTCTGTTCTTCCTTGATAGTAATTGTCAAATATTCAGTAGGTATGCCTGCGCTGGAATTTGTGGGCTTTGTTGTGATGACCAGAATTGCGTCTACACAACGTGCTTTGGTGGAAAACATATTTCTGTTATGAGTAAAGATGGGGAACTTTTAAGAAGAATTTCGCTCGAATGTATTCTTTGGAAACCCAGATGTATATCTGTTCTGAATGAGAACCGTGTACTTGTTACTAATAAAGATAGAGTTGTTCTTATTTCTCTTGAACAGTTCATTAACGTTATTAAGGCAACAAATTAAATTACTGTATATACGTTTGTTGAACAAATTTAACAAAAAGGAAGAATTTAAAAATAATGCATGTTGTTAAGTAATCTGGATATTTATCATAAATTATTATTGTACAAATGTATCGCCATTTTTGATTATGCTTTATAACATTTTCATTTCAGTCAGAAAACGTCTCAATAAAATAATTATTTTCTGTTTCTTTTGTTTTTGTTAAACCTGGAAGTTGTCATAGAGAACAACTTAGAAATTTTCAAGACAAAGTTGCAAGAAAGCTTAATGTTTGTTTTAAAAGGGATTTAACGGTTATAAACTTTCCAAATGGAGCTAAGAAATACCATAATATGACGGCGCCTTTATAAGCCTTCTCAAAAAAATGTTATGTCTGAATTACCATGCTGTTTAGTTTCAACTTTGTTCAAATCCTTTTGAAGGCCAGTTTTGCATTTATTCTTATTAAAAAATGAAGTTATTAGTTCTGAAAACCTGAAATCATAGCATGAAAGATTTATCGGTACGTCTTTCTAAGAGGCGGATCTAACACCCAAGTCTCTGCGTGTTCTTTCCTCAGAGATATACAAGATTATTCAAAGCAGGGGCAAGTTTTACAAAAGAACTTACGACTAAGACCAAAGTTTAATTTTGGTCATAATGCTAGCGATTTTAAACAGAATCATTAATTTTGCAAAATTTGAAAACGACCTGAAATTTTCGATCTTAGTCGTACGTTCTTTTGTAAAACGGACCCCAGGTCCACCTTTTTTCTTGAGCAAATTTTCTCTCACTGTGAATCGGAGAAAAATGAAATGTCTGTATATGACGCAGCGGAGGCTAAAGCTTTTTGTTGTGTATTATAATTCCATAACAGAGCACAGTATTTCTTACCAAGCTAGCCCTGTGATATCATCTGTAGCTTAAAATTGATTACGTTTCTTGCCAAGAGGCCCAAGAGCCCTGACGGTCAGTATAATGAGTTACTCAGGCTATGTGCACTCTCTGTCCAACTGAACTTGTCTGGACTTTTACTACAGTGATTTCACCGTTTAGTGAAAATTCTTAGATCATTATTCAATTCATGCAACTTGTCTCCTATTAGTGTAAGAGATAAGAAGATAAGGTACATTGTATAATTTTCAATATACATGTATGACCATTCAAGACCCAATCTGGGTATGATACCTAGTCAACAATAATATTTTTGTAGTGAGATAGCTGCTCATTACATTATAATCAAGCAAAAAGCCTGCTTTATGTCTATGAGTAAATAAGATTTTTCAAAAGTATAATGTACATATTTTTCATTGTATGACTAACTTAGGCCAACTCTTTGGCCTGAACGTTGGACCTAAAAGGCATGAATTTTAGGCATGAACTAAAAAACTTTAATTTGACACTTGGCTACTAAATCAGTTTTAGCGAGAATTAGCATTATAAATATCCTAAGAGCTTTTTAGCTTTGTCTTTGTTCAACTGTTGTTCAATTGTATCAATAAAAACGAAAAAATATCTCATAATTTTGCATGGTTTTGACTATTTGAATATGTAAATGGGGGTAAAAATTGGTAAAAGTGTGTTAAAATTGATTTTCTCAAAAGAAAATCATTAAAATCGACATTAAGTTTGACATCACGCATTGCACAAGCATTTTCCAAAAAATTAATTCATAAATATTAATATATAAAGACTTAGAATAATCACACATGACAACCGACATCAAATAGATTAAACTTGTTGAAGGACTTTATTCCAGTTTTCCCTTGTCTAATCTTAGGTTTAAGATTTTGTAAATATCCGAATCATTATAACTTTGGTTAAGAAGGAAAAATACATTCATGAACAACTTGTACCTATCGAAATATATATATATATATATATATATATATATATATATATATATATATATATATATATATATACATATATATACATATATATATATATATATATATATATATATCGCAGTTATTGGACCATATACCGGTAACTGTAAAACTTAAAATTTAAATTCAGCTCCGAGGCCCAAGTCCCATAAACTGAAGAAATACGTGATACAAATTTATATTTCTAATATCTTGATTTTTTTTTTTCATAAAAACAGGTTTAAAAAGTTGCGAGTTTGAAAAATTTTCGAATACAAACATAAAAAATTCTATATACATGTACTTCAAAATTAAGTTATATTTAATTTGAAATTTCGACTTAAATCTGCTCTCAGTGAATAGTTTTGACTTACGATAATTTCTTAACTTTCGTTATATTTCTCATAAACATGGTTTCCCCTAAAATAGACATAATTTAAATACTGACTTTGTGATATTTTAGTAAGCGTAAAAACATTAAAATACTGAAGAAATCAAGCTTGACATAATTAAGAGTCTACAAAATTAGAAAAAGATACAAAAATTATTGTCCCTATAAAACTCTGTGTCAGACGCACTGTTGAGATTAGTCAAACACGTTTGTCATACAATGATATATTTTTGAGAGAAAACTTTTTCTTTTTTAAACAGTTCTTTGCATCAAGGATTATCGATATGACAAAAATACAAAACTGCACTGGTACGATTCCTCAGAAATTTTGCCTTCAAAGTTTTCCAAGTTTATTCCATTTGAAGCAAAACGATGGATTTTCCATTTGCGATCAAGATTTGGTCGTCTTTGTTCATGGCAATACTTTTCGGGTTCTTTATGATTGAACCAATCTTAACTATCTGCAGAGTTTCTCCTGACCATCTTATTAGCTCAATACGACTTTTTTCATAATCGCATACATAGATGATATTGTTAGAATCCGAAGTAATGGAATCCGGACAGCAATATTTCCTTCTCACTATATACCCAGAATCCCTGATGAAAAATACGCAATCCCGGTTCCAGTCCGAAACTACAAACATACCATTGGTTAGAACGTGTCCAAATTTCGGGTTACTTAGTTTCCCTGCTTTGTTTGGATCAGTGATGACGACTTCTTTGATTTTGGAATTTTCTAAAACGCAGATTCTATCTAAACCGGAAATCCAACTAATTTGAGATGAATTCGGATGGCAAGTCAACAGAATTGAAACTCCTGAAAATGTCTCCTTTATGTTTAAGGAATTATTAATTATGTGTAGTTTGTTCCCTGTTGTTTTACACGCTATCCCTTCCTTGAAAGAAGTTAGCACCTCGCAACCCTGTACAACTATTGAATGGCTATCATTGTTTTGCTTCGAGAGAAATTTCACCTTTTGATTTCTCTGATCGACAACTGCTAATGAATTTTCATTCATCCATGTAACGCTTGTGTATCTTGGCTTTTGATTATCGCCATAGTATGGTTCCCAAAACTTTTGTAGTAATTTGGGATATAAACGACTGGCCATTCCTCTAATTGGTCCATTCCTTTCAGAATGCTTTGTTTCTTTCTCAGTCTTTTCTTGATCTGTTTGTTCTAGTTTTGTGTTTTCCTGATTTGAATTTCTCTTACTTTCCCCTGCGTTTTGGTATACCAAGTTAAAAATACGTCCATTGGTACTGCTTTCAATGAATGGTAACTTGATGTCTTCAATATTGCAACTTTCTCTTATTTTCAGAGACTGTAACGTTGCAAGGCGATCTTTCATTTCTGATTTCATCGTAAGAATTTCAACATCACTTCCACATCTAAGAAGGTAACTGCAAAACGAATATGTCTCATCCAGTAATTTCCTCTCCTTTTCAATTGATTCCCCTTGATTGTGCAACATGTCTTGCTTTGATTTCACGATTTGGTCGAATTCATTTTCGACTGACTTTTTTGAGTCCATCATGGTTTTGATAATGGCATACACTTGCTTTTCTAAATCTTCCTTCAAGTTTTGCTTTTTGACCTCCAAATTAGCTGAAGCAGATGCTACATTAACTTTTGCATTCTCAAATTTTTCTAGATTTTCTTTCAAAGAGTTCATAAGGGTGGTCAGCTTTTCTTCCATTATTTTCCTTGCATCTGACGGAGAAACGCATTTATGGTTTTGATGACCGAGGACAATGCAATCACGACAAACTGGAACATCGCATGTTTCGCAGAAGTACTTCAGATCCTCGCCACAATGTTCGGAACATGGAATCTGCTGTTTGGAACGAATTTCTTCATTATATTTTCCAGCAGACACTTCGGAGAGTGAAACAATTTTATGGTTTAATGTTAGTGTTGTAGATCTATGTCGATGCTCCGCACATTCAGAACAAAGAAAATCTTTGCATGTAAGACACTGCGAAGATGCATCGACATTTTCACCTTTTAAATCGCAAAACGAACACAGTTTCTGTACTTCTTTGCTAGAGCTCACAAGTTCAATAAGGTTTTGTAAACAGAAATTTGTCTTCAAATTTTCTGCCTTATTATTAGAAAGTCTAAATGTTTCCCTACACACTGGACAAGGATATTCCTTTTTATTCTGTTTTTTCTTTGTGAAGCTATCGATGCAACCTTTACAAAATGAATGCAGGCATGGAAGTGTTTTCGGTTCAGTGTAAAGTTCAAAGCAGATAGAACATGTCAGGTACTCCTCAGCTATGGTAGATATTGACGCCATTTCTACATGTTCAATCTGAAATAAAATAGTAAATATACGTTTATAACCTTTTTCTACTCATTATATCCAATTCCTAAAAAATGGCGAAGAATACCGACAAACAAAACGACCTAGTTTTTTTTTAAATCAGACAGCCGCAGTTCGATCTGCAGCTTGATAAAGACTTTTGAGACTTCAGAGATATGTTTAATGACAGCGAGTTACATCAAAAAGTAGGTGTCAGTACTAAAATGCAATAAAAATTTAATCATGGCGGCCGCCGATTTTGACCATGGTGCAGCTCGTTTAACCATGGCGCACATAAAGTTTACCATGGCGGGCCGCCATGGTAAAACCCCTTGTGGAGAACACGGTAACATTGTATGCAACCACAAATATGAATATTAAGCCGCAGGATACCACAGTTTTTATATTACATGTTCATTATATTCTGTATTATAATCTCAAAAACAATACAGATTGAAATATTGCATTTAACTTCAAGCAACATTAATAGTCTTTCTTACTAAGTGAACAGTTCATATTTATTTCGAGATAATGTAATATATCATAATCTAATTTGACATTCTACAAGTTCTTCAATAGCCAATATTACACTTTGTTTATAAATAACAATATTTTATATAGATGTATCTTCTTTTAAGGATATCCACTCCTCACCTAGGAACGATAACTCTTGAAATTATTTAACTGAAAAAGATTCAAAATGAAGCTTGAAATTGAAATCTTTTCGTGCACCATTTTCATTTCATGCATCTCAATATGATTCAAGGCTCTTTGAAGTTTTAAAAACGGTCTTGTAAAAAGCTGATATTTGTACCCCATAAACGGACAAAAAGAAATACATTTTAGAGGAATCGAATTTTCTTTTATCATGACTAAGATACCAATGCATAATAGGAAATTAGAAGTGATCTGTTATGTCTTGCAATGATAGCACAAGCTATTAACACTATATGTATATTACGAGTATAACAAACGAAGTAAGTAGAAGTTCTAATTAAAACAATGTTTTTAAAAGTATCTTTAAAAGAACATGCAATTTTCTCCAAATGCCTAGATACCTATAATTTTATCATAAAATACACTATACAAAATTGCTAACGTACCACCAAAGAAAATTAATAGTTTCCTTTTCAAAACTTGTTGATGATGTACTGTCTATGATATATAAATACATATATGTACTGTATATGATATATAAATACATGCATGTTATCAAATAAAAAATTAGGCATTTAACTATCTTAAGTGATAAATAACTACAATGTTAACTAAAGCGTAACCATTTCATTAAAAAAAAGGAAAGTCCTGCTCACACTTTTTGGAGGAATAAATTTCTATTTTTCCTTTGTGTTTGTGTTCTTAGTTTGTACTAAATGAAAACTCCGAAAAACAAGATGTGTTTTGCAACACTGATGCCGTGTGGCAGCTTACGGCGAAGGTTAAAGTTTATCAAATGCAAATCAAACTCCAGGTCAAGAGATCAAAATGTTGATACTCATGGAAAGGTCTTGTATCGAGGAATATACCTGTGAGATATAAAAACCTAGCACCAACCGTTGAAGAGTTATGGGGAAGATTAAGGTTTTTGCAAAAATAAGTAAAACGTAAAGGTCAAGGTCAAATGGTGTCCAAGGGAAGGTCTTGTCATAAGTGATACACATGTACAAGAAATATCAAAGCACTAGATCAAAATGTTTAAATGTTATGGCCAAGGTTAAAGTTTTTCAAAAGTTGGTGAAACTCCAATATCAAAGGGTCAAAGCTGTTAGTATCCTAAGGAAGGTCTTGCCACAAGGATTACAAATGTGAAGTATGTTATAGCCAAGGTTAAAGTTCGGTAAAATTTCGCAAAACTATGTCAAACTCCAAGGTCAAGGTCAATTATGATGGTACCCCCAGAAAGGTCTTGTCATAAGGAATACACATGTGAAATATGAAAGCCATAGCTCCAGCCAATCAAAAGTTATGAGCGATCTTAAAGTTTCTGTGGACAAACGGACAGACAAGGCAAAAACTATATACCCCCGAATCTTCGATTACGGGGGCATACCCCGAATCTTCGATTACGGGGGCATAAGAATATTCAAATATTCTGTCTTCTATTGAAAAATTGTTTCAAATAGATTAACAAACATAAAAATGGTTTCTATAGATAGCATAAGGTAGTCACCATATGATAATATCAAGACTGTTCACAAAATTGGGCAATCGGAAGTTGGGTGGACATGGTATGGACACCAAGGCATTGAGTGATTACTAGGCCAAATGATGGTTAATCGCTGTACTTTATTTGATTTTTCACTGGGAGACTGCTTCTTTTGCAACCTCATAGACCACCATCGGTAATCACAAATTTAAAACGGTGCGCAGTACACGTCGGGAAATTGGTTTTCGGGAAAGAAGGTCATTTTTTTAAAAGGGTCTTTTCAAGACACTAAGACATTTGTCTATTCAACTGTACTGGGGCAAATATACAAGTGCCGATTAGAAAAATGTTCAATTAACAAGTGGTGCGTTAGCAATTTTGTCTAGTGTTTATTTGTTAATCAATTTTTAATTAGAAAATACATAGCTGGTATTTTAATTCACGTTTCCCAAAAATATAATTTTGATTTGATAGTTTTCCCTAATAGATATAATACAAAAAACTATAATGATTAACTTCGGAATCCATTTCTTTGTGAATTCAGAGCAGAGACATTTTTGTTAGCACATTCAATAATAATAAGCCGATTTTCAGAACCTGAGGATCGGACTACCTTAAATTCGAAACAGTTACTGAAAATTACCATTCACAACACCTCCCACCCTAATTGTCTTTTGATTGATTGTAGGTTCCATTCCTTAAAATAAAGCAAATCTACACTTTGTTATGTGTAAATGCTCACATATCAATTTCATTATTTATGACCAAACCTTTATGAAAACGACAGGGATTTTAACAAAATTAAATTTCCCCTATTATGGCCCAGAAGTTCTTGAGAAAATGTTGACCTCCCCCCCCCCCCCCCAAAAAAAAAAAAAATGTTACTCGCTCGGAGAATTCACAATCTGGTTGTACAAAGAACGAATTTGTCGAAATGGAGAAATTTGGGATTTTGAAGAAAACACTTAAAAGCTAGTGGTGACTCAGTCATTGTTGAATAGATTTTACCTGTTGTCATATTTTAAAGTGAACCTCATAATTTTTGATCGACAAGAAATAGACCGGCTGTAAAGTGTTATAAAAGCCAGATAGATATATTACACAACCTTAGTTTACGTTTTCCTTTTAAAATAAGATGTTTTTTATTAACGATATCATCATGTTCTTATGTTACATCTTTTCATTAATACATTATGTATTCACACCTGCAGAGTTCACATGTCAACGATATCTTCCTGTTTCTATGTAACATCTTTTTCATTAAAGATTTTTTTTACCGTATTATATTTCATAGCATTATGAATTCTACACACCCTGCATGCACTTTCTGCAGAGCACACATGGGAACACACCATCACTCAGGCATAACGATCTGATAGTGTAAATAATATATTCCTTGCGCAAAAAAAACGATTTCAAGATATGCTTATAATGACAGTACAAAATTATGGATGTTCTAATAAAGTATTGATTGAGAGGTTGCTTTCGTTTAATTTGGATTTGAAGAAAAAAATCCCACAATAAAACGTTAAGAACCACCTTTCCCTGGCGTTATTTTACCCTTGACCTCCTTTGTCGCCAATTTATACTCGGGTGCTTTATGGGTTGCATTTGATGCTTACTCCCATTGGTCCGTAAAACACTTAACAATTCAAATTTTGAACAGAAAATTATGAATTTTTTTTATCAGTATAGATTTATCTGCTTATAAAGCGAATAAGGAGTTTTGATACATACAACATGCATATAAAAATGGGGAAAAAGATCGTTGTCAATACAATTAATATGAGACTGGTTCTTTATGTAGCATTGACTTTGGGTACACACCGTCACCTACGGAAGCCCTGGAAGGACATTGGCTTACTTGTTATGACTTATTTGTTATAACATATTTGTTGCGAGTTATTTTTTTTATGATTTTTATGCTAGTTATAACGTAATCTAACGTAGCTATTGAGAACGTCTGGCTTGGCTTACATTTATTATTCAAATGATATATTTAGTCCTAGTTTAACTGTTTAACGTCCAGTACATTTGTGACTAAATTCTTATCTGTTGATATCGTGTTACTTTGTTGTTATAACTTAATTTTTGTTAATTCTTATTTGTTAGTATCTTGATACTTAAAAGTTATTACTTAAATCTTTTTTGTAACTTCCAGTTCGCATTAAGAAATAAACAACAATGTTAAAAAGTTCTCTGGGAAATGAACTTGGTTGGTCACGTGATCAAATCCTGTGAAGCCCGAAGGGCTTCTCAGAAGATTTGATCACGTACCAACCAAGTTCATTTCCCAGTGAACTTTTTAACATTGTTGTTTATTACTTTTATTTACATTTGAGACGAATATTCTGAATAGGACTGCATTTATTACACGAACGGCCCGCCGTATTGCTATGTTGTGACGCGCAATGACCTAGAAGTTGTTTGGTCTTGAGAGTTCGCCTCGCTCCAACATTTGAATACTTACATTGATGTTTAGCAGTCCAGTTCAGGAAATATCTGTTCATAATGAAAAAACAATGATCGCTACTGGGAATTATCTTGCTATTATTGTACGAGTTCTTTATATATAAAGTCAAAAGCGGTGCTATCGTCTTCAGTTTACATACCTTCAAAGGAATTTCGGGTTAAAGAGGTAAGCGTGATTTTAGGCTAATTAGAAACATTCTTCACACCGAAGAAAGATCTAACGATCATTTGTTGAACGAAAAAAAAAATATATGTGTCAATAATTTTATCTTTTTCATCGCTTTGACGGTTCAGAAGTTCCGAAACCAGTGTCACTGTGACAGAAATATGTAGACAAGATATCGTCTCGCTGTGTGATTCGGTCACGCCATGACCTCTGACCCCCTAATAAGTTCATACAGAATTGAACATATTTTCTCTTCTATAGGTTCATCTAAGAAAAATATTTGCAAATGTAAATAATGATGATTGAACACATGAACAAAACTACTATTTTATCTTGTCAATGGTAATAAATTCAAAGGCAAAATATTACTTTCTTCTTTTCTGAAACAACACATAACCTCCACCTTTCAGGCCACGTTTTGGGGTTAAGTAAACGGATGATAAATTTAAAAAAAAAACAACCAAGAATTAACAAATAAGTCATAAGAACTAAATCAAAACACCTAAGAAGTAAGTTAATGTCCCTCCAGGGCTTCCGTAGTCACCTGTATTTAGTTGTTGAATGGTTTTTACTTTCTTCCACAGGGAAAACCACTTCGTGTGCTCTTTTTCTTAGTTTATCACGTTACCTCTCCATATATACTCTTTAAAATCTCTAAAGAGTATAGTACATAAATAGGAAAGTTTATTTTTTAAAAAAAAAATAACTACAATTCAAAAACGAAAAATGTGCACTCAACTGCAAAATGGCGGCGGCCTCCACAAATCACTGTATTTTAAATGTTTAAAAAATAAAACTTCTGGGAAAGAAGCAAAAATAAAACACAAACACGTCTCAAAATTATCTTGATTCTACACATTAACAAAGAAACAGTGCCATGAATTTCAATTTCTCCTACCTCCCTAGCTCAAATGTCTAATCCAAAAATATTTCCGTCAGGTAAGATACGTCCATGTGAAATGAAGCATCAAGGAGGGAAAGTAGACTCTTCCTTCGAGGTACATTGTAAAAGAAGGTGGAGTGATTTTACGATTATAGGCATTCACGCCTGTTGTTCAATCCTAATTCATGTTACAACGAATAATTATTTTTTTAAACAAGGTCATTCCCTTAAAGTAAATACAAAAGAAGATAGGATTTTCTTCTGTTCCTTGCATGTTCATTTCGGAGTTTTGTGTGTAAAATTTATTCATTTATAAGTATAGTTTATTATATGTAACAACACTTCCAATTTATATGAAAGCACATAATAGTAATAATAATAATAATGTTAGAAAGATTGAGTTGATTAGTATTCTATCAGTCAATTAATAAATAAGTAGTTAAAGTAAATGAAATGTTTCTTTAATAGTTATTATGTATTTCAACCATATTTCCTTGCCCAGTCATCTACTTTGACTAGAAAAAGGTGACCTTTTTATTTTAGAGTAACGTCCTTATATTGAGTACCCACCTCCCCTTCGGTGAGGCACTTCTATAAATTAAACCAAGTCAAAGTGCATCTTAACGATATCCTCAACCAGGAACAATAACTCTTAAATTTATTTAGTTGAAAAAGTCTCAGAATGAAGCTTGAAATTAAAATCTTTTCGTGCACCATTTTCATTTCATGCATCTCTATATGATTCAAAGTACTTTGAAGTTTTTAGAATAGGGTCTTGTAAAAAATTGACATTTGTATCCAATTAAAGTTGTTTTTGTTTTGTTTTTTTTTAAAAAAGGCGTTTTTAGAGATATTGAATTTCCTTTGATCTAGCCTTAGATACCTATGTTTATTAGCATGATATGAAATTAGAAGTAATCTGGATCTGTAATGTCTTGCAATGATAGCACAAGCTTTTCACACTGTGTTTTATTTAACAAGAGAAGTCAACAGAACTAAAATACCGTACATGTATTTAATGCAATTTTTTTTTTTTTTTTTTTTTTTTTTTTTTTTTGAGAAAATTGCATGTGATTAACTATGATGAACTCCGAAGAAATACCACGGGTAAATACACATTACTTTGAGAATTCAGAAACATTTTTGTGAGCATTTCCATTATTCAACTCCTGATTTTCAGAACCTGAGGATCTGACAACCTTAAAAGACTGGTTATCAGTAACAACTATGTTTTTTTTTCTTCTGAGAGAATTGTTTTGATGTTTTATGCTATATTGTTTTCAAACACAGAACAAAAAGAATAATTTTCCCTCGTGTCTCTACATACGTGTCTTTCTCACCAATTTAAGAAAAGTTCTAAACAGGGAGGTAAATCTAGTTTGGTGTATGTTATTATGCTAGTTACCTTAATGGCTGTAAATGTTCTTTTGTATTCATATACCCCTGTTGACGTCTGTCTAAAACTTGAAACTGAAATTTAAATGTTTTGTAACGATGTTCCAGATGCATATTAATTTTTTTTTTAAAACTCACATTTTCCCCATGTAGTTCACAAGAAGGCAAAATAATTATATACCCTTCTAGTAAAACGATAACGGAACTCACACGTATACTGTACAAATCTATCAAGCTTAAGGTGATATCATAGTTATCAATCGGCATTGATACTGATAAGAGAGATAACTCTGATTTAAATGACTTCTATTCCTTTATATTTGTCAAGTTAACAGGGTAAAATTTGTCAAATTTTGCCCCGCAAAGTATACTGAAATTATGTGATTTTATTTGTAAATTAGAATTCTTTTCGACAGACGAAGACGAAGTCTCTGATGAGACTGTAGCTCTACTGGATTGTACTTATCATAATGGAAGGGAAAAGTTGTATCTGGACTTAAGGCACTTATACATGTACTTAGTTCTATATTTACATAATTCTTCTAAAACTTAAAACTGATATACAAAATAGGTATTGCCATTACTTAAATTAGAATTTGGTATTGCCATTACTTAAAATAGATTTTTTTTTTGGTGAGATTCTTTCAAAAGCAAATTTATCTTCGGCAGTTTTTGGTTTGATCTCAATAAAAGAAGTTTAGAAACATAAGATACATTATTATGTAAATAATATGTTTTACGGTGTGACCGTTGGGGCGAGTGCAGTTGTACCGTCAAAAGTTATAGATAGCACCTTACACTTGGAACTTTGATCCGCTCTTCAAACGTCAAACCGCACGAAACACAGTCTAGACTGTGACGTCACATGACGTCGGAATTTACGGAGACAGCCGAGCGTCTGGTTGAACGAGACTAAAGATCTAGTAGTCTTTGGAGTTTTCTAGTAGATTGCCTAGTTTTATTGAAATTGGACCAGGAAGAATAACATTTTGAATGATTTCGAAGAAACTCCTATTTTTAGAAACAATAGATAAACACTCTTTAAAGTGTTTAAAAGATAAATATACAGAACTTTTTATCTTGGATACTTGTGTAGCAAGTTTTACAGAAATTGAACCAACATTGTACAAGGAGTAGCATTATGAAAGAATTTTACAGATTTTTATTTATTTTTTGTAACTATGGCAATACTGTTCATTGAAATCAAGTATCTAAAAGATTATGTATCTTAATTTAACTTTTGCTCCAAGCTTTATTTAAATAGAACCAAAACTGTAGGTGGAGAAGGAGTAGTGTTTTGAGAAAAAAAAGTTTACATACACAGAGAGCTAACTGATACCTTACCATCTTAACAGACACCTTACTATTACAAAAGCTCTTCTGGTCTTTAACTAGTACAGTTTAAAAAAACATATAGAGGGGTGATTATAGTTCTTTCATCACTGCTCCGGAGTTTTTAAATGAACACTGTATAGGGTGCTTGCATATTAGTTTAACTATCCATCACTGAAGATTTTTCCAAATATTTGTTAAAAATTTCAGGATATTTATACACTTGAACTTCGGTATCTCGAACACAGATATCTCGAATACCATGGACATGTCGAAGTGATTCTGAAGTCTCAAGCGCTTATTTCTTAAATATTTTATCCTGGATTTCTCGAATCCTCGGATATCTCAAAATATTTTCTTGGTCCTGTGAAGTTCGAGATAACGAGGTTTGACTGCATTTTTATTCAATATTCAGGTCTCATATATACCAATTTGTCACTTCCTAGTGCCTAGCCCACTGCTCATTTCTACCCTGAGGGCCGTAATTTGAACAGCCTTGAATATACACTAATTAATGCTTGCATTTTCGTGTAAATTGTTAGTTTTATATTCTTCCTTGTATTGCTGTGTACAGCCATTCAATCTCTCACGTGTAGTTCTGGAGAGGTTGATGATGTTCGAAATTTTCAAAAGTGCAAGATTGTCAAGTGGCATAATGATGTTACTTAGGTAACATAAAAATCCTACACCATGTTTCATTTGTTGAGCAATTTTATGTATAGTGGTAGATAAAATTAAATACTGTAGAATCATCATTTGTGGGAGACCGATGCTCTTGGATTTCATTGGTTTGAACATATTTTATTGTCTATAAACTTTACAACTGGGATTGGGCAAAAGTTCTTAAAACTTAATACCAAACATATTTACATATATGGGTTTCAGCTTAAAATGAATAAAACACAGAAAAGCATAATAAGCAGAGAAACATTATACAATACACAAGCTCTATAGAATTTGCAAGAAGTAATTATTGCATCAACCAAAACGACCTGACTTTTTATTTATTTTTTTTTTTACAATGGAAAATAAGTATTCATTTTCAACATTATTTAACGTTTCATCTCCCCAGAGTAATGTATGAGTATCAACAGTATGTAATTTTCCCATTTGCAGAAATCTATCGAAAAATTCTTTTCTAGTTTCTGTATATTTTTTGCACGAGAAGAAATAATGATGAGTTTCCTCCACTCTTCCACAGGAACATAAGGGACTCAAAATTATATTACATCGAAAAAGATCGCTATTAATGCCCTGTTCACACGGAGAGTTTAATTCGAATTAAACGTAAGTTACTGCGAATTAAATTTGATCCGCGTTCACACGGAGAATTTAATGCGAATCAGTTTAATTCGAATTAGTTTACTGCGCATTAAATTACTTCGCATTAGCTCCGTGTGAACGCTAAGCGAAGCTAATTCGAATTAAATTTTGACGCATGCGTAAGGGCAGAATTAAGTCATAGGCCACATGTCGATGGTCAAATATAGGTACTTGTGCTATTTTTGAGTGGAAAACAAAGGAAAATTATTCTAATCACTTAAATGTGTACAGACACTATGACATTATGTCAAATGTATCTGCTCTGCACAATATGACGTGATTTGTAAATGACGTCATAATAGCCTTACTGAATAGCCTTGTTGTAGAAGTAAAATTATAATTCGCATTAGTTTACTTAAGAAATAAATAACAAGTTTAAAAACTTCAATGGGAATTGAAGTGGGTCGGTCACGTGATCAAATCCTGTGAAGGCCGAAGGCCTTCTCAGAAGATTTGATCACGTACCGACCCACTTCAATTCCCATTGAAGTTTTTAAACTTGTTATTTATTACTTATATATACATTTGAGACGGACAATCGAATGTAATCGAATATAAATATTGCACTAACTGTACGTCGTAGAATTTGACAAATTACGCTAGGTGTAAATCGGCTTGAAAAGCGGTTACGCTTCAAATTCATCTGGCAAAGGATTGTTTTGAAGGGAATATTCTGTGAAAGGCTACTTGTGATCAATTATAGTGAGCATATTGGTGTCTGGAAATTTTTGTATTCATGAGAACCCATATTCGATGTTAAAAAAACACAAGAAACACGTCCGATGTTTGATACTAAAAAGTTGGAGGAATTTCGATCGGAAAGGGATGGATGGAGACACTTGTCCGGACCAGATAACTTGAAATCAAGTACAAAATTTGATCAAAAACATAAATTCTACGATTTCAGTAAGGCATATTTATTAATTTATGATGTTGACATGGAGACACTGGCGACAGCTTACATTGTTAAGACAACGTCACAACGATCTCGATGATGGAGGTGTGCCTACCGAACTTCCAAAGTGCAGTGTTTGTCAGCTGTTTGTGGCGTGATTGCATTACATTGATATTTTTCAACAGATTTTCAAATTTATTGTGAGTAAAGTTTAATGAAAAAAAATTATAGCATTCAGAGGTCTGCGAGAAAAATAAGGGTAAATGTTGAGACTATGCAGCTCAGACATGAAACTTATAACACGTAGTTTTCTTTTCTCTATGTAAAATCGATCAAGAACTGTATTAAATACTCGTTTACATTGTAAATAAAATGATTATTATTTTACTTGCGTATTTTGTACATTTTTATGCATGAAAAACATGCTATATTGCTTAGTGGAGTAAGTCTTTTTAATAGAGATATTACTGCGCTGTGTGATTAGGTCACGTAATGACCTATGACCTTCGAAAAACTTCATACAGGTATGAAGATATTTGCTCTCTGCATGTTTATATAATAGAGAGATACCACAAATGTATATATTTCGCATTAGCTGTCGTGTGAACGCAATTTAATTCGCATTAGTTTAATTCGCATCATTTTACTTCGCATTAATTTACTGCGAATTAAACTCTCCGTGTGAACGGGGCATAAGTACACAGTTGTGTCGAAGTCTTGTATGTAAAATATTTAAGCGTCGATTTCCGTAACTGAAGTAAGAAGGTGCCATAGTTTTATTATAAGAAATAGACTTTTTAAAAATAGATAATGAGGAAGAATTTCTTACAACAAGAGGCAATGAGTTCCATTCATCAATAACAAGGGGAATGAAAGTTGACTTATAGGTTTGTAATCTGCATTTGGGTATGTTATAGTTATGTGATTTTCTCGTACTTTAACTTGATGAATTACAACGCAAATTTGGGATTATATCAGTCAGAGATTCAGGAACTTGATTATTATAAATTTTGTACATTGTAGTTAATCTAGTATTTTTCCTTCTTTCATGTAATGGTTCCCATCCAGAGTCAAAGTAAAGTGCATTTTTAGAAGCTAACAGAGTTAAGCCTGTGACAATTCTAGCAGTACATAATTGTAATTTTTCTAATTTTTCGCTATCACCTACATTACACCCACCCCACACCAGGGAAGCATATTCTAATTGTGGCCTTATAAAGGTGTGTACATGAGTGAAAGATTTACTACAAATTTAAGTTTGTTTAATAAGCCCAATTTTTTATACTCATTAGTTAGAATAGTATCAATATGTGTAGACCAACTAAGATCATGTGAGGAAAAAATCCTTAAATGTTTATGCGAAGAGACAAATTCTAGCTGACTCTGCTGGAAAAAGAGTTTAGGATAATTAACACTTCCTCTCAAGATGAAAAATATTGCTTTAGTATTGTCCGTTATTCATACTAAAATCAGATGTTGTGTGAAACACATTGGTCTTGTCTTAGCATCAAAAATATACATTTCATTCTCATTACACAAAAATACACTCCCAATATCAAAAGAACAGAAGAGATATAGCATAACTAAAAGGAACATTAACTGTGCATAAATTGTGTCTCAATTAAGCAAATAAAATGATCAACTCATCATCAATACATTTTTCTTGATGAAATACCCTAGTGTTAAATCCCATCTTGTTTATATGACTTAAAAATTTCATGAACAGCTGATTTCAAAATACAATATACAATATAGAAATACGTCGTATTTTGAGATTGCGCCGCGTGGACATACCATTGCCTACAGAAACATATATTATTTATTTGAAGATAAACTGTATTTCTTATAGTTTATTCTGTAGACAGAAAATATGATGTTGAAGAAATGTGCAAAAGTTCATTGATGTGCCTTAAGCGGATATTATTATACGGCGCCAGTCCATGAACTTTTTGATAACCCCTCGTAGATCCACTGACAAATGGCAGAGAAGATATTATGAAGAATAAAAATAACTCTGATAAAGGACAGTATTTAGGTCCGTTACCAGCTTATCACAAGTGATATAATAACCAAACGTGCACATATGTAGGTCTACAATTAGTTTATTTAATGCTGCATCTAACCTGCAATTCACACGTAAGTTTCTCTGGTAAAGAACAAGGTGTGGTGCCTTTTCTCAGCTTTTTTATGTACATATTCAAACCAAAATTGTTCATTCGGTATATCTATGAAAGTGTTGGTCAATGTTTTGAGTGCCCTTTAGAGTTTATGTACATCCTTCTAGTGGTATTTCCTTAATTTGATCAACTTTCTCTTTTTGTTTCGGTAGATATGGATCTAATAGCAAAATATCTCAAAGAGGATTATTTGACTTGCCCAATATGCTATGAGGTGTTTAAGGAACCAAAAGCTTTATCATGTCTTCACAATTTTTGTGAAGCTTGTTTAGAAACCTTATTAGATAAATCTTCAGAGAATAAAGAATTGAACTGTCCAATTTGTCGAGAAAACACGCCTTTGACGGAGCAAAAGGTCTCAGGTTTGAAAACAAATTTCATATTCAAGGATATAATCCAAAAACTATCCGGCTGCACAGAATCGTCTTCCAGAAGATTGTGTTCCTTTTGCATTCTCGGATGTAAAGAGGTAGAAGCTACTCACAAATGTTTAACATGTATGGACTTGCTCTGTAAGTTTTGTACAAACAAAAGGCACACATTTACAAGACAAACGGCAGAACATAAAGTCGTTCCTCTCAATGACTATTTTGCAGGAAAGTACAAAGGCCATAAAAATACAGACACACCTTGTGAAGAGCATCGAGAAAAACTGCGATTTTATTGTCAGGAGTGTTCACTTCCTATTTGTGGAGAGTGCGCGCTTGGAAAACATAGATTTCATGAGTACGTTTCATTGTCCGAGGCTAAAGATATTTTCTTAAAGGATATCGACGGAGTTCTGCAGAGTTCTAAATCGAAAATAGAAACGACGAAAGAGATACAAAAAAAATTGGTTTCCAAATGTGATAAACTAAATGTTCACGGATGTTCTTTGAGGAAAATGATAAATCAAGCTTATGAAGAAACAGTGCGCAAGTTAGACTTAAATCGTAAGATAGTTGAAGAAGAAATCAGAAAATACATACATCAGGAAAGGGAAACCATTGAAAGTCTCTTGCAAGAGAACTTAAGGTGCGAAGAAGGCCTTACACAAGCAATTTCATTCTGTGAAAATACGATTTCAAATGGAAGTGACTTAGAGGTTGTCCTCTTTCGAGAGGAAATGAAATCACATTTACAGAAGTATCAAAACCTCCAGGAAAAGGGTTCCCTACAAAGTGTACCTCATCAGAGTTTGAAAATCAAAGTTCAGGAAGAAATTAACGTTTTCGAGTTGGAAAGAACCTTTGTCGACAAAGAAACACTAGACAACGAATATGACATACCCATTGATAGCATTGGATTGGCGACCTCGATCAAAAGCAAAACAGAGTACAAGATCGATGAGGATAAGTGGGAGGCAAAAGATACCGAAAGGAATAAAACTGAAACATCTTATTTTTCAATACCAGTTCAAATGCCTAAATTTTTGAAAACTTACAATCTATCTAAAGTAAAAAACTTTAGGGCCAAGATTTACACGTGTGTTGTATGGATTGACGAAATTTCATTTGTACTTGTAGACGAAAACAACCATGAAGTGGTCATTGTTAAAACTGAAGGAGAAAAAGTAGAATTTAAACGTCACAAAGTAAAAAATCTAGTTACTGTTGCAAAGTTCGATAGGTATCTGGCCTGTAAAACTCAGTACGGGGATGTTATTATTTACTCTTACCCTGATATGAAGTTTGAAAGAAAGTTTAACAGAGCCTATGCTGTCGCGTCTTCGTCATCGGAGTTAATATGGGTGACAAAAGAAAAGATTATGATATTTAAGACTGATTCTCTTATAGAAAAGAAAGTATTAGATGAGGAAGGGAAACCATTCAACTTTCTGAGACCATTCCACGCGTGTTACCTGCCCAATAAGTCGTTAGCCGTCATAGATAGAAATGAGGAATGTCTGTTCTTCCTTGATAGTAATTGTCAAATATTCAATAGGTATGCCTGCGCTGGAATTTGTGGGCTTTGTTGTGACGACCAAAATTGTGTATACACAACCTGCTTTGGTGGAAAACATATTTCTGTCATGAATAAAGATGGGAAACTTTTAAGAAGAATTTCGCTCGAATGTATTCTTTGGAAACCCAGATGTTTATCTGTTCTGAATGAGAACCGTGTACTTGTTACTAACAAAGATACAGTTGTTCTTATTTCTCTTGAACAGTCCATTAACGTTGTTAAGGCAACAAATTAAATTACTAAATGTACGTTTGTTGAACAAATTTAACAATAATGAAGAATTTAAAAATTATACCTGTTTTTGAGTAATCTGGATAATTATCATAAATTATTATTATTATACAAATGTGTCGCCCTTTTTTGATTATACTTTATAACATTTTCATTTCAGCCAGAAAACGTCCCCAATAAAATAATAACTTTCTGTTTCTTTCGTTTTTGTTGAACTTGAAACATTCATTGACATTATACGTCATAGAGAAATACTTAAGAATTTTCAATCAAAGTTGCAAGAAACCTTAAGTTTTTGTTAAAGGGATTTAAAGGTTATGAACTTTCCAAATGAAGCTAAGAAATACCATAATAAGACGACGCCTGTAGTAGCCTTCTCAAAAAATAAATATGTCTGAATAACCATGCTGTTTAGTTTCAACTTTGTTCAAATCCTTTTGAAGGTCAGTTTTGCATTTATTCTTGATAAACAAGTTATTAATTCTGAAAGCCTGAAATCACAGTCCCAAAGAACTTTCGGTAAGTTTTTTGAGAGGCGGATCTAACATCTAGGTCTCATCGTGTTGTTTCCCCATGGAGATCCTTGTAACCAAATACATGTACCACGTGTGTTAAGTATACAAGATTATTCAAAAGAACTTAAGACTAAGACCAACATTTAATTCTTGTCATAACGCTAGAAATTTAAACAGAATCATTAATTTTGCAAAACTTGACAATGACCTAAAGTTCTTTTGTCTTAGTCGTAAGTTCTTTTGAAAAATGGGCCCCAGGTCCACCTTTTTCTTGAGAAAATTTTCTTTCACTGTGTATCGGAGAAAAATGAATGTCTGTAAAAGACACAGCGGAGGCTAAAGCTTTTGGCTGTGCATTATAATTCCATAACAGAGCACAGTGTTTCTTACCAAGCTAGCCCTGTGACTAGACTATCATCTATAGTTTAAAATTGATTACGTTTCTTACCAAGAGTCTTATGGGCCCTGACGGTCAGTATAATGAGTTACTCAGGCTATGTGCACTCTGTGCCCATCTGAACTTGCCTGGACTTTTATGACAGTAATTTCACCGTTTAGTGAAATTCTTAGATCATTATCAAATTCATGCAGCTTGTCTCCTATATGTTTAGGAGTTAGGAAGATAAGGTACACTGTATAATTTTCAATATACATGTATATGACCATTCTAGACCCAATCAGGTATGATACTTAGTCAACAATCATATTTTTGGAGTGAAATAGAAGCTCATTACATTAAAATCAAGCAAAAATGCCTGCTTTATGTCTATGAGTGAATAAGACTTTTCAAATGTATAATGTACATATTTTCATTATATGACTTATTTAGGCCAACTCTTTGGCCTGAACGCTGGACCTAAAAGGCATGACTTTAAGTGGCTCATGTGACCTAAAAAATTTTAATTTGACACTTGGCTTCTAAATCAGTTTTAGGAGAACTAGCATTATAAATATCCTTAGAGTTTTTTAGCTTTGTCTTTGTTCAACTGTTGTTCAATTGTATCAATAAAAACAAAAATATATCTCATAATTTTGCATGGTTTTGACTATTTGAATATGTAAATGGGAATAAAATATGGTAAAAGTGTGTTAAAATTGATATCTTCTCAAAAAATATTCATTAAAATGGACATTAAGATTATGACATCACGCATTACACAAGCATATTCCTACAAATAAATTCATAAATATTAATATCTAAAGTTTTAGAATGATCACACCTGACAACCGACATCAAACAGACTAAACTTGTTAAAGGACTTTATTCCAGTTTTCCCTTGTCTAATCTTAGGTTTAAGATTTTGTAAATATCCAAATCATAATAACTTTAGTTAAGAAGGAAAAATAATTTATGTACAACTTGTATCTTTCGAATATATATATATATATATATATATATATATATATATATATATATATATATATATATATATATATATATATATATATATATCGCACTTATTAGACCATATAACTGTAAAACTTGAAATTTAAATTCAGCTCCCAGGCCCCAGTACCATAAACTGAAGAAATACGTAATACAAAATTTATATTCTTAATATCTTGACTTTTAAAACAGGTTTAAAAAGTTGCGAGTTTGAAAAATTTTCAAATACAAACATGAAAAGTTCTATGTACATGTACTTCAAAATTAAGTTATATTTAGTTTGAAATTTCGACTGAAATCTGCTCCCAGGGAATAGTTTTGACTTATAGATAATTTCTTAACTTTCGTTACATTTCTCATAAACATGGTTTCCCCCAAAATAGACATAATTTAAAAAATGACATTATAATAAGCTTTAAAAAAAACATGAAATCACTGAAGAAATCAAGCTTGACATAAGCGTCTACAAAATTAGAACAAGATACAAAAATTATTGTCCCTATAAAACACGTTTGTCATACAATGATATATTTTTGAGAGAAAACTTTCTTTTCTTTTTTAAACAGTTCCTTGCATCTGACAAGAATTATCGATATGACAAAAATACAAAACTGCACTAGTACGGTTCATCAGAAATTTTGTCTTCAAAGTTTTCCAAGTTTATTCCATTTGAAGCAAAACGATGGATTTTCCATTTGTGATTAACATTTGGTCGTCTTTGTTCATGGCAATACTTTTCGGGTTCTTTATGATTGAACCAATCTTAACTATCTGCAGAGTTTCTCCTGACCATCTTATTATCTCAATACGACTCTTTTCATCGTCACATACATAGATAATATTGTTAGAATCCGAGGTAATGGAATCCGGACAGCAATATTTCCTTCTCTCTATATACCCAGAATCCCTAATGAAAAATACGCAATCCCGGTCCCAGTCCGAAACTACAAACATACCATTGGTTAGAACGTGTCCAAATTTCGGGTTACTTAGTTTCCCTGCTTTGTTTGGATCAGTGATGACGACTTCTTTGATTTTGGAATTTTCTAAAACGCATATTTTATCTAAACCGGAGATCCAACTTATTTGAGATGAATTCGGATGGCAAGTCAACAAAATTGAAACACCTGAAAATGTCTCCCTTATGTTCAAAAAATTGTTAATCATATGCAGTTTGTTCGTTGTTGTTTTACACGCTAGCCCACCCTTGAAAGACGTTAGCGCTTCACAGTCCTGTACAGCTATTGAATTGATATCATTGTTTTGCTTTGAGAAAAGTTTTACCTTTTGGTTTCGCTGATCAACAACTGCAAAGGAATCTTCATTCATCCATGTGACGCTTGAGTATCTTGGTTTTTGACTATCGCCAGAGTATGGTTCCCAAAATGTCTGTAGTAATCTGGGATATAAACGACTGGCCATTGATCTAATTGGTCCATTTCTCTCGAGTTTTGTTTCATTTTTAGCCTTGTCTTGATTTGTTCTTTCTAGTTTTGTGTCTTCCTGCTTTGAATTTCTGTTACTTTCCCCTACGTTTTGGTATACCAAGTTAAAAACACGTCCATTAGTACTGCTTTCAATGACAGGTAAGTCAATGTCTTCGACATTGCAACATTCTGTTCTTTTCAAAGATTGTAATGTTGAAAGACGATCTTTTATTTCTGATTTCATAGAAAGAATTTCAATATCACTTCCACATCTGAGAAGGTTATTGCAAAACGAATATGTCTCTTCTAGTAATTTCCTTTCCTTTTCAATTGATTCCCCTTGTTTTTGCAACGTGTCTTGCTTTGATTTCACAATCTGATCTAATTCGTTTTCGACTGACTTCTTTGTATCCATCATATTTTTAATAATGACATTCATTTTCTTTTTCAAATCTGCCTTCAACTCTTGCTTTTTGACCTCCAAATTAGCTGAAGCAGATGCTACATTTTCTTTGGCAGCCTGAAATTTTTCCACATTTTCATTGAGAGAGTTCATAAAGCTGTTCAGCTTTTCTTCCATTGTTTTCCTTGCATCTGATGGAGAAATGCATTTATGGTTTTGATGACTGAGGACAATGCAATCGCGACAAACTGAAACATCACATGTTTCGCAGAAGTACCTCAAGTCCTCACCAGTATGTTCAAAACAGGGAATCTGCTGTTTGGAACGAATTTCCTCATTATATTTTCCAGAAGAAACTTCACAGAGAGAGACGATTTTGTGATTTAGTGTTAGTGTAGAAGACCTATGACGATGCTCCGCACATTCAGAACAAAGTAAATCTTTACATGTAAGACACTGCGAAGATGCATCGACGTTTTCACCTTTTAGACCACAAAACGAACATAGTTTCTTCACTTCTTTGCTGGAGTTAACAAGTTCAATAAGATTTTTCAAACAGAAATTTGTCTTCAAATTTTCTGCATTATTATTTGAAAGTTGAAATGTTTCCCTACACACTGGGCAAGGATATTCCTTTTTATTCTGTTTTTTCTTTGTGAAGTTATCGATACAACCTTTACAAAATGAATGCAGGCATGGCAGTGTTTTCGGATCAGTGTAGACTTCGAAGCAGATAGAGCATGTCAGAAACTCTTCAGCTAATGTAGACATGGATGCCATTACTGTTAATTCTGAAATCAAATTAAAAGTTTATATATCCAATTCCTAAAAGACAAAGAATATTTATAAGGATACTTGTCAAATAAAACGTGGCACAATTTTTTTTAGACCAGAGAGGCATTACTCTACAGCTGGATGTTTTAGATTTAAGATCTTAAAAATTCTATAATATCGTAAATCAAGAGAACAAGATACATGCACCGGTATGTTAAATCTGACAATAACATTATTTGCAAATTATGAAATAAAATGAGTATTGAGTGACATTACCACAGCTTTTGAATTGTTTTGTAGAAAAAAAATCTGTAAGCAGTCGAAAAGCAATAAAGGAAATAGTGCATACGACTTCGAGCAACACAATTCTTTATATGTTTAAAGTCCATTTTAATTTATTTTGAGATAGTGTAATATCATAATTAAATGCTGGATACACTCCAGAATATTTCAGCAAGATGTAAAACATACAATGTCATTAGCTTGTGTTTTCACACGTCGACAAGTAATTGTTGCCAGAAACTCTGTAGGAGTAGACTTTATAGCCAATATTATACTTTGTTCATTTCTGGATGAATTCTTTTAAGGTATCACACCGGTAATTGACCAATCAAAATGAACTTAATTTTTGTACACCCACCCACCCCCAAGAATCATGGAGGATGGCCTGATATTAATCTCTGTGTTGCATTTTTTCACATTTAAAAGTGTCAAAACCCATAAAAATGTTTATGATTTATATTTTTAAATTTAAATGTTGAATTTTTATGTAAATTTGGTGAAACAAAAAGCTGTAATCTTGAATTAATCATGCAAATTCATCAAACACCTTTGAAATTCCTGAGCAATTCAATGAAAAGAGGATATAATTATGCATGTTCAATTGGAATTTCATGGCTAATTTGTGTCTGCAGAGGAAGCCAGTTACATAAATCACAACAATAAATTACATCTGAATTGTTTTCTCCATTTTCCCATCATCAAAGCAAGTTTAATGGAGTGTCAGAGCTGTCCAGAACCTCCACAGATGCTGATATCATTTGGACTGCCCTGTGTTACAACACAGCTTTTTAGATAAACTTCTGCATAGCAGGTTGTAGACAAGTACCTAGGCTTTATTTGGAACATAAATTGACCAGATGCAGATTTTATTATCAGCCTAATATTTAACAATTTCTGTAAATTCTGTCATTCTTGGGAGGGTAAAATGCAATTTTGTTATGTAATAATTGCGTAATGGTCTCAGACTTGTGAATTATTTTTTGTTTGTTGTGAAGAACAATGCATATACTCTCCACGGATACAAAATTGGTTGCCAGGCTTAGTCTATTAAGGATGAAATTCTGCTTTAAAATATGCACAAAAAACTTCTGTCACAGTGCTCTGTGTGTATTCTAATTCTTGACTGCTCTGGAGTAAGGGAGATAAACGCATCATATCTCCAGCAATAATGGGAATTCGATCCCCAGACTTAAGGATGTTGGTGACAGTTATTTAAGAAATCTCAGGTGCAAAAATAAAAAAAAATCTGACAACTTCAAAGGTCCTTCAAATATGAAACCGTTACTCAATATAACCGTTCGAATCACCTTCCACCTTAATTATTTTTGGATTGTGTAAGGATAATTCCTAAAAAAATAAAGTACATCTACTCTGAGGGTAAATTCTCGCATATCAGTTTGACCAATTAACGACCAAACTGTTGTGAAAACGAGATTTTTAAAATATCATATATTCTCATGTAAACTATATGTGTCAAGATGACACGAATGCCCCCGAAAACAGAGGTAAGCTTTTCAAAGCAATAATTCATTTTTCCTATATTATTAAATTATTATCAATAAGCCCCACCCAAGCACCAGAACTCATGAAATTCACAATTTTGGGAGAGGCTCCATTGCTCATCATAACTATGTACTTATTTCATTGACTCAATACACAGGAGCAGAGGAGAAGATTTTCAAAGAATTAATGCATTTTCACTATATAATCATTAGAGCCCAGCCCTAACACCAGAACCCCTCACCAATACATAATTTTCAAAGAGGCTCCATTGCTCATCATAACTATGCATTTAGTTTGTTTGCTTAATACCCAGGAGCAGAGGAGAAGATTTTTAAAGCATTAATGCATTTTCACTATATGTTCAACAAAGCCCCACCCTAGCACCAGAGCCCCTGACCCTGGAGCCATGAATTTCACAATTTTGGGGTAGAGGGTTCAATGTTTATTACAATCATGCCAACAGTTTAACTGCTTGATGTCAAGGAGTAAAGAATATTTTTAAAGATAGCATTAATTTTCATGGTTTTAGCCCCACCTCTCAGTCCCCAGTGGGGCAGATGCCATGAATTAATTTCACAATTTTACTCCTCTTCACACACACTTGCTATATGCCAAAATTAGTTCAGTGGTTCCAGAGAAGAAGCTGAAAATGTTCAAATGTTAACGGACGACGGACGAAAACAGAGAGCAATAGTTTAATGTTGTTTGGCCCATTTTTAGGTCACCTGAGTTTACTCAGGTGATATAAAAATGGGCCAATCAACATAAAACTCGAACTTGGTCTGTAAGTCATCAAAATCAAGAGACATAATTTAAAAAAAACAGCTCAATTTCTTCAAGCATAGCAAAACAAAAAAGTCCGGAAAACTGAAATGACGAACGTAAAGGGGTAGCAATATATGCTCCGGTCATTTCATGGCAGGGGCATAAAAAAGTCCGGAAGACAGTGAATTATCAGAAATTTTCGAAGTCTAAGGGTTATAACTTTTGTAAAAATGGGTCAATCATCGCAAAACTCAAACTTTATCTGTAATTAAGTCATCAATATCAAGAAACATACTAAAAATTAACCCTTTACCTAAAATCATAGCTAAAAAGTCTGGAATTATCAGAAAAATTCAAGGTCTAGGGGCCATAACTTTCGCAAAAAAGTGTCAATCATCACGAAACTCGTAACTGATCTGTAAGTCATCAAAGTAAACAAGGATCATTGTCTATAAGCACAGCAAAAAAGTCCGGAAACGAACTATGACGGAATGACAGAATGACGGACAGAAAGAAGTAACACTATATGCCCCGGCCATTTCATGGCGGGGTCCAAAAAATTATCCCTACTATGGCACGTCTAGACCAAGGAACCATGATTAAACATTCCAAAAAGTACACTAAATGGATCTTTGTGACTAATTGGGGCCCGTCTGTTCTTCAGAAAAAAAGATTTTCATAAAATTTTCTTGCATTATTAATATGTAAAATTTTTAACCCTAGCCTCGGGCCATGAGTTGAACGAACATCATATCTGCACTAGATACTCACAGAGATGTAGTCTGATATATCGTGAACCTGCTCTTCCCAAGAAAAGATGTTTCAAGGCTTTCCCTATATACTCAATATTTACAATATTATTCCCTGTTGTGACCCACCTGGCCAAAGACCTGGGGGGGGGGGGGGGAATGAGAATTTACCCTTTTATGGCCCAGATATTCGTGAGAAAATTATTACCTTATTTTTTCTTACTCATCTCTCCTTAAGCTTGCAATAGACATTATTTGAATGACCTTTAAATATAAAGGTTTATATTTATCATTAATCTTTAAATATAATTGTGATATTAGTAGAGAAAAAATAGGTTTGTTAGATCCCTCGATCGTATGTAATAAAGAGACAGTACTAGCAATTAGTTTGCTCTCTCAAATTACTTCTCTATTCACACAGAGAACTTGATTATTCGTTAGGATGAATTATTCTTTGTGTAACAAAATTTTCATTGAACAAAAATGTTAGTTTGTAACCCCACCCCCACCCCCCTTTACCCAAGTTACTCGTTCGGAGAATTTATTATTATTATTGTTTATTGCTTAGGACACACATATTATCGCATGATATGTTAATGGATATGTTCGTTCAAAAAAACGAAGGGAAAAAAACAAACAAACAAACAAAAAACGATTACACGCCTGATAAAGGTGGCTAATGAATAGATATTATTACCTGCAGATGGGTATAAATTGAACCTCATCATTCCCAAATAAACAAAAAATCCACCACTCTTTTCCCCGTGCCTATATTATAAATTTATAAAATAGATACATGTACTTTCTTTGCCGTCACTTTACACTTGAATGCTTAAATGAGTATTCGATGCTCACTTTTATTTGTACATTTAACACTTAATAATTCAAACTTCAAATAGGAAATTATGTTTTTATGTTATCAGTCTACCGATGTTTCTCTGTTTATACAAGGAGTTCTGATAGAGCATTGAAATTGGAAAAAAAAAAATCCATATGAAACTGTTTCTATAGTTTCTTACTTTGTATTGTATATCCTTGACTTTACCTGTATTTAGTTGTTGAATGGTTATGATCATTTCCCACCCAAAAAAGTTCGTGTGCTGTAATTCATAATTGCTAATACATATAACACGGTTATCTGTTCTTATAAACTCTTTAGAGCCTCTATTAGCATACATGAATATAAAATACAGCTGGTTTTATTTTTATCGTGTTAATTAAAAAACCTCATTTTTTTTTTCTAAAAATCTGCAATACTTCAAAATGGCGACATCCACCACAAATCACTGTATTTTTAACGTTTTAAAAATAGTAGGAAAGTAGAAAAAAAAATACTAAAAAAAAGCAAACTTAAAATTATCTTGATTCTACATAAACAATGAAACAGGGCCACGAAATTTAAATTTCTCCTACCTTCTCCACGTGCCTATCCAAAAATACTTCGTCAGCAAAGATTCACCCATGTGAATTGAAGCATCAAGGAGGGAAGTTAAATGAACGTAAAAGGAAAAACTGGCACGAATGAGGAGAGATTTTACGATTATACGTAACAATGCCTGTATGCTGTTCTACCCAAATTGATGTTATAATGAATATAATATTAAACAAAACTGGGTGATCCTGCATCTCGCATTTGTATCTAGTACTAGTTAAAAGTCATTTTTGACTTCACCGTTATTATCTATCATGTATGAAGTATACTGCTGTGGGTAGGGAATA